GTAATAGCGTAATAATTGTCTAAGAGACATTAAACACTGTGGCTGTCTGGTTAACCACCACTGTGAACAAATTCGACTTGGTGAGTTTCTTTGGGATGGAGCATTTCACATCAAACCACTCTGAATGACTTTGTTTCTACTTTAACTATTGAATTCTGGAGAAATTTTAAAAAATCAATGGAATTCCCCTTTAATGCAGAGCAATCCATTTAAACCATCTGTACATTTAATGAAAACATACTTGGAACCAGTGTATCGATAACATCTTGCAAGAGAAACTATTAAGATGTATTGCTGTATTGATTTTCATTCCATCCCAAGTGTACCTAAACACAAATCTTACTGCCCGTCCAAGGAGCCAGATATGAAATATGATCATAACCTGGCAGTTGTTTACCTGTAAAGGCGGACTGCATCATGGCGGTAGATTTTCTGGCACAAAACGCTTCTGTTAATCCGAGCAAACCAGTCCAAGACTTTAGATCAGCCTACAGTGTAGGTGAGACAAGGACACATTTGTTTGTCTTCGTGCCTGGTCCTCTCCAGCTGCACTGAGAAATTCATTCATTTCATTTCATTATCTGCTCCGACACTTTGATTAAATAGAAAAGGTGAGTGAAAGCAGCTTTGTATAAGAATAAGTGGTTCAGTGGCCACCCTGCTCCACAGGTCCGGGTGCATGCAGGCCATGAGAGCGCAAATGATGTTCTGAACCAGAAGCAGAGAGGGTTAATTGGGTTCAGCCTCTCACACAGGGTGAGGAGAGTAAGTGGAATTGTAAATCAGGGAATTTACAGCGAGTTAATTGGGGCTGATGCATTGCCTTTGCGGACCCATCATGGGCTGTCAGTATCGGCCTGGTGTTCTAAATATCACCTATCAAAGACTATTACAAAGGTCATGTGTGCGCCTTTGCTAATAAATGACTCATAAATGTGTCAAAAAATAAATATAGAAAACACTACAACACTTACACAAGAAGTTCAGTAGCAATGAATTAAACCAGCTGGATTAATTAAATGGAGGGTTTAATTGAGACAGCTGTTTATATTTTATAGGGAACTACTGATGTGATTGAATTGTGGGCTGGATGAAATACAATACTTCTATGCTTAATGGGAAATTCCACCGACTTTTCAAAATGTCTGCATAATTAAATGGTTAAGATATACAGCCAGAGTCATTCAGGGTGGCTGAGGTCAAATGCTCCATTATAGAGAAACTTTCACAGTTGTTCACAGTGGAACCAGATGTCTAAAGAGTTTAATGCCTCTAAAAGCTCTCTCACAGAAAGCATGATGCATGAAAAGGTTGTGAATGCGCTGCCTGATGCCCAAGATACTGTTAAACAATATTTTTCAGAATGTCTGGGCCTAAAACATATTTTCAATTTTTAAACAGTGCATGCAGAATGTTGAGGCAAAACAGTCCTCCTCCAATTGTTTTTCAGATGTACCACTGTTTCACCATAATCAGCCTAACATAACACATAATGTGTAGGTTCACTGGTGGTTTTGGATAATAAATAAAATGTCTATATTTGTGCTGTAGACATTGTGACCCCTGGTTCCTATCACCACCACGGTAAACAAATCTGATCGGTACCTTTCTCTACAACTGAGCCCCTGCAATGGAAAACAGTGTATGTATATTTTAGCATAGTTTGGCGTTTTAATGTAAACGGTTGTACAAAATAAAACAGAGAACAAAATAACTGATTAGTTAGAGCGGAATGGTTAATGTATGTTTTTTCGTTTGAGGGGCTCAATTAATCATTTCACATCAAACCACTCTGAATGGCTTTGATAATTATGTAGAGATTTTGGGCAAAACAATTATGGAATTGCTCTTCTTATGAAACGGATAGTTCCGGTCCCAAAATCTGATTGGTCGCCGGTTCGAAGCCGTTGTAAAATCCACGAAAAAAACCTTGTGCTGTTAATAGAATAATCTTTGACTCTCGTGCTGCTCGCATGGACCACCGACTGTACTGATGAGGTAAGAACCCGTTTTTTGTTTAAACTGAGCGGCTGACATCTTGGGCTTAACTAGAACCAGGCTGGTCAGCTAGCTAACAGGCTAAAAGATAGAAAACAGCCTAAACAACTCCATCATTAATGTCACAGGCTTGAATTAAAGCACTTACGGTATGAATAAGTGTGAAAGTCTACAATGTCATTTTAATGGATTACACGCCTCAAATGTTCGTGTTTCAGTCAGAAGTCGCGTCAAACACAGGATGAGTCCCAAACGGCTCTGTATTCCCTAAATAGTGTGCTAGCTATGAAAGTTTAGAACTTCTAGCCTCTAAGGTCAAATAGTGCATCATTTATCGAGTGTGGATGTGGCTGAGTCCCGAATGACTATTTCTAAGCTATATTTTACACCGTTGGGGAGCAGGATCCAGTATTTAAATTCATACGTAGTGCACTATGTAGGGAACTGGGAACCATTTGAGATTCAGCCCCAGCACGAAAAGAGGGCGCCGCTGGATTGGTCCAAAATAAGACTCGCGGTGATAATTTGGTGACCAAAAAGTACTTATAAAGTGAAGGTTTTGCATGAAACAGTGCTGTTTTATCATACGTTCATTGTTATACGACAAAAGGTTAATAAATTCATGAAATGACCGCAGTATACAGCGATGGGCGACTGAACGTTCTTCTCCTCGTTCAGCGGTCTATAAGTAGTTGTTTGGCAACGATACCACACTTTGCAGGAACTACATATCTTGGAAGAATACTTGTTTATGTCGATTATTACTAATAACTTATTTTTTTCCCGCTCCGCTTCATGTCGTGCATAGGAACACTCTTTCCGTGATAAAATCGCAGTAAGGCACAGCCTCTCGTGGCGTATTGCTTAAGTAACCTATTACTTGATTAAAAGTTATTTAATGTACCCCATCTACTCCATCTTACTTGAATAAAAGTACAAAAGTTCTTGCTCGTGAATGTATCAAAAGTAAAAAAAAAAAGTTTTCTTACTATAGGTATTGTATGGTATGTTGATGAGTAAGTTCTATTTAGGAGACCTGTGTGACTGCAGACATGAATAAATGAGTTTGCTGTTCGTGTCACTTCATCAAAATAATACTACACAATACTGTGAAAACTGAAAGTACTAACTCGAAGTAGTATTATTGATACTTAAATACATTCACAAGCACTTTTGTATAGATAGAGTACTTCTACTCAAGTAATACTTCAGAGTATTTCCACAGTAAATAAATATTGCATATTGTTTACCTGTGTAAAATGTGTAATATTTATATATACTATTAATATCCCTCACAAAAGCCATAATTAGATTCAACGTTATAACAGTGCAATATAGGAAACAAAAGTTGTGCTTTATAGTGTCTCGATTTGTCTTTATCCTGTCCATATTATGACCGAGATTTTTATAAAAAAAACTTCTTATAATCTACTTTTATGATTTGTAAATTCATTAGATATCTAACTAAAAGTAACAATAACAATTTCAAAGTCCTAACAATCAGGCAGCATTCTAGCACATCAAACTATTGCTATGGTGACTGTTTACAGTATAACACAGTTGCCAAGGGGATAAATTCACTTCAATCCACGAGTTTATATCCCGGCAACTCTAAATGTATTTTTACTCAAAGCGCTAAAGGTTATATGAGACCAGTAAAAAGCTGCTCTACTAATACTTTCCTTCTCCCAGTTTTAATAGCCTGCTGATCAGTGTTTGAACTGCACACACCTGAAAAAATGGATTTTGAAAAAGTTTTTTTGGGAAAACTCAGTCATTCACTGATCATTCACAGTGATGCTTACAAGGTACTCTTCTGCCAGTTTGAATTTGACAACGTAAAAAAAATCATTTTGCTGAACCAGATTATAAAATGATACACTCAATTACAAATGAGCCTTCTGTCTGACACCATCAAAATTTGAAATGTATACAGACCACAGATTTCATGTGCAAGGCTGCCCTCTGGTGTATGCCAGACAGACAGTGTTTTTTTGAAAGGAGACCCAGTCTAAATTACATGGACTGTATCTCATCATGATTCTGAAAGATCAGTCTCAAAGTGTTCATATAAATAATCAGCCATGTTTGATGTTTCTGAAAGTTACAATAGTTCTGCTCCCCTCCAGATTTGAACTTTTTCATAGCCGCACATTAATTCTTCATGATTATCACAGATCAGTAAACATTTCATACAGCAAGAAATAAAAACAAAAAACTACGTTATATTTTATGTTTTATTTTTTTTTCCAGGATGTTCAACACAGAAAGTAAACAGAAATTTTGTCTTGTAGTGGTGGTCCTACTTTGATTGAGACTTGACTCTCTCTTTCAGTTGTAGAATGTGATCGATGAAATCCCTGAGCGCCCCACGGCCTGCTGGGCGCTGGCAGGTGTACTTAGCAGAGTTTAGTGCCACCATAGGGGCATCCAAGGGCACTGCACTCAGGCCAGCCAGGTTCAGGCAGTCCACATCTGGCGCATCGTTTCCTACAAAGTAAATGTGCAGAGAGAAGGAACAGGTAAACACTTGACTTGTATTTTATGAATGCTCGTGGTATCACTTAGAGATATACAGTACTATGCAAAACCTTTAGGCACCTGAGATAATTAGATTAAAAAATCTGGGCAGTAAGCATTTATTAGTTCAGAAAAGCACTAGCATTAGAATAAATACAAAAACATTACAATAAGCAGTGATATTATGTCTGTTGATGTATTTGTTTAACCATTTCCAAGCTTCTCCTCATGGAAGCCCAGTATTATTTGTAGCTCCTAGTCAACACCTGGTTTGGCTAACCAGTACATAAAGTTAAATCAAGTGAACAGATGGGGGCTTTGTGGAGAAACATGGAAGCAAAATAGCTCAAAATAGCTCACTTTAGGTCACTGATTACTTGTAGACACGTGTTTTTTGCACACTTCACATGTGAAATATATGTGACAGAAAAGCCATGTAAGATGTGTTTTTTCCTTTATTGTTTCTGCACCTTTTAAAAAAATAGAATAGTGATAGTGATTAGAGATTATGAAATTGTTAGCTGCTGCCCCAATGAATAGTCTGAAAGGTGATCCACTCCCATTGGTGGAGACACATCAGTACTAACACCCAAGGACTCTTTCATCGCTCCAGGGCCACAACATACGTCCCCCACTGATACGCCCTGACGGAGCTGCATTTACTAAATGTGAACCATGACGATGATCAACTGTATCAGCTGCCAGAGACACCAAAACTCCACAAGCAATTCAGACTGTCCTCTGCCCCAGAAGCTGGTATCAGCTGGAACGAGGCTGTCATGTACCCTTCAGCCAGTCCTCAGGTACAGAGAAAAATAAACCCAACTCCTCCACCCACATTTACTGTCTCATCTCCACCTCAGTACCCCAGACCTTCCCTTAAAGAGAGTCAACTTCCCCACCACCTGTAGCACCTCAAAGAATAAGACAAGCACCTCCACCTCCAGAAAGGCAGCTTCACTCTCTATCTTATCATCAGCAGAAGCTCCGCCCACCCTCTTTCTCTGATCCTGTAATCTGGCAAACTGGTTTTTCTCGGCTCCGTGCTGCTACAGTGATGAGGCCAGCAGTACATGTTCTCAAAACAAGCTCATGTTCCCTGTAATCGCTCTCATTCCTGTACTTATCAGAAACAGAAAGAACAAGGAGTGCATGTCACATAATGTGTACATATCCAATCTGCAGTATGTACAGCTAGATAATCATTTTTCTCCAGCATTAACAACAATAACATTAACAATAGCAAAATACTCTTTGCCATGGTTGACGAACTAACAAAGTCACCTGTAAATATGGCCCCTGAATTAGTGTCAACTGAGAGATGTAATAAGTACTTTAACACTAAAATCCATAATATTAGACATGCTATTACTACATCTATATCTGCCAATGAGCCCATGTCCTCTCCATCACCACGTAAAGATATCATGGTTAAAATGTCCCGGTTTAATGCTATTAATGATGAAACTTCAGCAAATACAGTGGGTCATCTCAAATCCTCCACTTACAGTGGTGACACATTACCAACCAACTTTTTAAAGAATGTGTTTCACTCAGTAGTATCGGACATACTTCAGGTGTTTATCCTAACATATTAAAAACTGCAGTTGTGAAGCCTCTCTTTGATAAGCAAAATCTAAAAGCAACTCTGTTAAGTAATTACAGACCTATTTCAAATCTACCTTTAATTGAAAAATCATTGAAAAAGTTGTCTTCAAGCAACTTACTGGAGTTCTATTGTTAATTAGCTGTCTAGACAAATTTCAGTCAGGATTCTGGCCTAATCGTAGTACTGAGACTGGTCTAATTAACGTCATTAATGAAATTTATTTAAATTCAAACTCTGGAAAAACATCTGTTCTACTACTGCTCGATCTCAGCGCTGCCTTTGATACCATTAACAATTACAGACAGTCTTGATAGCTGGGCTGAACTCTCAAGAACTGCCCTAAAATTGTTCATCTCTTATCTTCAAGGAAAGAACTACTTTGCCGAAATAAAAAAATAACATTTCTGGGAGCGTCTTAGTGACCTGTGGTGTCCCCCAGGGTTTGATTCTTGGGTTGTTCTTATTTTTTATTTTTTTTTATTTTTTTATACATGCTTCCTCTTGGCCAAATCCTAAAAGACTACCTTACCAGCTATGTAGATGACACTCAGATCTACTTGGCCCTCTCCCAACAACTGTGGTCCCCTTGAGTCACTTTGCCTTGAGTACATTACTAACTGGATGGGACAAAACGTTCGGTAATTGAATAAAGATAAAACAGAGATTATTTTATTTGGGAATAGCAAGAAGAGGCACAGACTAGCTGCCTATCTGGATTCGAGATAGACTAGAAGAACTAGCAGCAACCTTAGTGTACTAATGGGCTCTGATATCAGCATTAGCAGTGATGTCAAAGCAGCTACTACATCAGTATTTTATCACCTTAGAAACATCAATATTAGAGATTTTCTGACTAATCCAGACCTGGAGAAACCCATCCATGCCTTTATTTCTAGCAGGATTGATTACTGTAATGGTATCCAAACTAGACTCCCAAAAAAGACAAGCAGCTGCCAGTGTTCTCACCAAGAGTCAAAGAACGGAAAACATCGTCCTCATTCTTAAATCCTCACACTGGCTACCAGTATATTACAGTATAGACTTTGAGGTATTATTACTGGTCTATAGATCTCTTAACAGTGTAGGACCAGCGTATTTATCTGACATGCTGCAGCAATATGAGCTGAGCAGAACTCTCAGATCATTAGGAACTAGTGAGTTAGTCTTGCCTAAAGTAAACACTAAACATGCAGCGTTTAGCTACTGTACTGCTCTTAAATGGAGCCATTTGACAGGGAGCATCAGAAGAGACACTTCAAAATCCGGGCAGAAAACGTTCCTATCTGAGCAGCTTTTAGCTCAGTTTAAAACACTTATCTCTACTGCACTTCTCTCTTGTAATGGCCCTTTTTTTCTAATTTGATTTTTAATTCAATGTTTAATTTCTTCTCTTTTAAATCTATTGTTTATAATCATGCTTTTTAATTTCTACTGTCCAACATCTTTTTAAAATTTGATTTATTTTGGTATTTTCTCATTTGTACAACACTTTCAACGACTACAGTATATGAAAGATGCTAAACAAATAAACCTGCCTTGCGTAGCCTTGATGAAAGAATTATTCACACACCTAGGTAGGCCACCTCTTTCCACACCAGGTTCTTCTCCTTCATCAGTCTCTCCACCTCCAATTGCTTTTGCTCCGTCAAATGCCTCAGCTCACAGCCGGTCTTCTGCGATAGTTTATCTGCGAGGGGCTTTGGCACAGGGTTTTCACTGGAGGATATAAGGATCACCTGAGGGGACAGCATGGAAAAAAAACCTGGGAAAAAAATAAAGCTGGGTTTCCACAGTGAAACTTTCATACAACCTTAGTTGTTTGAAACGTATATGAAACAAAATTTCACTTGAGTTCATAATGTAAAGTTTAAAGCCTGACCACTTCCTTTTCCACAAAGTGTACAAAAAACGCTTGCATCCATCATCCAGTCATCAATAAACAGGGTGAACAGAGCTAAACAACTAAGTGTTTAACATATTTTGCATCTTTCAGGCAGGAGTTTCCTTTCGTTTTGAAAAACAGAACAATGTACCACATTAAAAAAAAGAATCTAAACTAGAGCAGGGCAATATGGCAAAAACATAATATCACAATACTTCAGGAACTTTTCACGATGCACCACGACACTTATTTTTTCTTAAATGGAAACCCTGAAAAAAAGTGCCACATTAAGAAAATACTACCAATAGCAATAAATACATTGATCTCTATGCAGCATTTCACATCCAAATTCCAATTAAACAGCACTACTTATGTTTTCTTTGTAATGAAATATGCAGCTGGTCAATGTTTTTGAGGACATCCACAGTATACTCAAAGAAGCATATTGCTACATATTATGACATAATTTATCACGATAACGATAAATAGTGTTATGTTGCCCAGCCCTTATCCAAACTTTCCAGTTTTCCTACAGCAGACAGCTGATTTGTTTTGCCAATGTGATGAGATCACTGTCTTGGTAAACTGCTCATAAAGCACCGACACATACAAGCCCTAAAACCTATGTATTCAAAAATATGACAGCAGTTTTGAAAATTTATTTTTATGCTATTCTGTGTTGAGAAAGTGAGTGCATTTGTCTGAATGAAAATGTTTGACCATTTACAAGTGATAGATCTGAGATCTACACAAAAACTCCTTTGCAATCTATTCATTTTGGAGTCTCTCGGAAGCCCCTTTTGGTGCCTGATCAACATTACTGACATTACGGACACGACAGGGGCAGAAGCCGAGGACATTTGACATACTTTGCTTGCAACTAGTTGGAATCTCAGACGCAACAGTTTCAGCCATCTCAACGTAATACGAGCATAAAGCCATCAAACACAAACACTGCTAACACATCAAATCCCATCGAAGGACTGCGTTGGATTATCATTAAGCTGGTATACAAACTCGCACTACTCAAACTCAACACACCCGTCAGAATGTCCCTGGAGCCAACGGAAAAACAAAGAGTCGATTCCCCACAGGTTAACAAGGGCATCAACCTGTAGACACAGTAACTGCCATATTTACACAGACTGAACTGTATAAATACACAGATACCCAGATAAAAGATTTCTAATGTTAAAAATCAATAACAGCAACTTGTCAAGTTTGATTTTCACACAGTTAAATGTGAGAGATTTCATTGTTTGGGGTGTGTGTGTGGGGGGGGGGCTGTTTTCTGCGCTGAACAGAAGGACAAACATCCCTGCTAATGTATCGTTTCCTCAGATCGAGGAGTTTCCCGAAGGTTTTCTCGAAGGTAGAAAAACTAACAACGTATCTACAAAATCACAATTAAACAGCAGAAGTAACTCATTAGTTCTACCAATTATAAACAAATGTTTCTATATTTTTCAATAGGTTTTTTTCTTTTTTTTACTACTATATCAGTCTCCTTGGAGACTCCTTGAAGACCGTCAAAAATGACCAGTGCCAACTATATTTCAAGTCGTCACGGCGGGGTATTGGGTAAAGTTTTCAACTAGCAATAATCGCGCCTTGGATAAACCTCATAGGCTACGATACTGCCACTGCGAGAGAGTAACAGGTTATCCAGTGGTCGAGGTTCCTGACTGCCTGAGCCGCTCACCGCACTAACGGTAGGTTTTCACATCCTGATCAAAAGCACCAGAAAAAACATGGAATAAACAGATTCAACATCAATATTTAACCATAATGTGAAGAGCATAGGCTCTGTGTAAGGAGTAAGAGTAGCAGTGTCAAAAAAAAAAACTAAAGGTCACTACAGCAATGCCTGCTGGGTATAAAAGTAGACGCAAAAAGCTGAAGTGTGAGATGTGGGGGTTGGTGACGTGAGAGGTGGGGGCAGGTGAAGTTTGGATGAGCAGTTAATTACCATAAAGGGTGGGGGTCGTATTGTGGAACCCATTCAACATTTCTGCTCTTTGACTGTAAGAACAGTTAAATCTCACAAATTGCCGTCTTCCTTGTATCATTTTCTTTTCAATTTAAAGAAAAAAGCACAATCAGCCAACATTTGAACATTTATTGCACTCTATTCAGTATTAACAATTATACATTTAAATCTCACACAGCAGGCCAACATACATAGGATTTTAAGAAAGATTTTCTATGCAAGTCCACAGTGGGACCCAAAGTTTCCAGAATTTGTCCGTCTGGTGACGTAGATCGTAGGTCAGTTTTTCCAGGGGAAGCAGAGTTGCAGCTTGGGAAAGCCACTGCTCAACAGATGGTGAAGAGGGGCTGGCCCATCGAATTAGGATACATTTTTTTGCCAGAAATGAAAACATTAGAAACAAAAATTTGCCATCAGTATCAAAAATATGTTCTGCTCCTATTCCCAAAAGATACAGGGCAGGGGACTTCTGAAATTGTGTCTGAAGGATATTTTCTACCGTGATGTGTACTCTATCCCAGAAAATGCCAATTTTTTTACACTGCCAAAAGGCATGAAAAAACGTTCCTTTTTCAGTTTTACATTTAAAACACAAATTAGTTCTGTCTGGAAACATCTTCTGTAGGCGAACAGGTGTAAAGTATATCCTATTCATGAATTTAAAGTTAAGCTCGTGAACACCAGATGAGGTACACCTGGGAAACAGACCTTTACAAATATTGCACCAGACCTCTTCTGAGATAGGTTGGTCTAAGTCCCTTTCCCAAATTCCCCTCAGAGTGTCTGACAATGGTTTAACACTCTTTCAATCCTCTAGTCTGGTCCTTCTTAGCTAGCAACACTTCAAGATCGGTTAATTCCTTTCTAAATCTCCCATCCTTAATGGCTGAGGTGATCAGGTGACGAATCTGAAGATATTTAAAAAAATCTGACCTAGGTAACTCATATTCTTCTTGCAATTGTGTAAACGATTTGAGCAAACTACCAGAAAACATATAAGAAATGTTTTTGATCCCTCTGTTAAGCCAAGCTGAGAGTCCAGAGTTACTCAGCTGAGAAGGTAAATCTGGGTTGTGGGCCTGAGGGGACAGTAGTGAAAGACAATGAGGAATCTTAAGATATTTCTTAACATCTGTCCAGGCCATAAGGGTATTGTGTAAAATAAAATTCTCAGAGACACACCTCACCTTTGCAGCATCATTAATAAACGGTAAGCAATCAAGAGGAATAGGGCTACATGCCCCTGTTTCCATAGAGACCCAGCGAGAATCCAACCTATTTGTACACCAGCTGATCATATGCTTTATTTGAGATGACCAATAATACAAATGCATATTAGGCACACAAGCACCACCTTCCTCCTTCGCTCTTATTAATCTAGAAAATTTAAGTCTTGGCCTTTTATTATTCCATATAAATTTTGAGAAACTTTTCTCTAGATCCTTGAAGAAAATTGTGGATAAATGGCAAGGGATTGACTGAAATAAATAGAGTAAGCGAGGGAGGATATTCATTCTTATTATGTTTACCCTGCCAAATAAGGAAATAGAGAGAAAGTTCCATAATGTAAGATCATGTTTTATATTATTAATAAGTGGAAGGTAATTTTTGTCAATAAGGTTATTAAGGTCTGGGGTGATATGAACACCCAAATATTTAAAACCCTCTAACGCTAATTGAAAGGGGGATGCAACTACCCAAGGTGTGTTAAGGGATATATTTAAAGGTAAAGCTAATGATTTTGAAAAATTGATCTTATAACCAGGAAATTTACTGCATTCTGAAATACACTTCATTATAGATGGAATAGATTTTTCTGGGTGGGCCATATACAACAAAATGTCATCCGCATACAGTGAGATTCGATGGTCTGCTCCTCCTGCGCTAATACCTGAAATGTCCTGGTAACATCTAATTGTTTCTGCCAGTGGCTCAATCACCATGGAAAAAAGCAATGCAGAGAGAGGGCAGCCTTGTCTTGTTCCTTGACTTATCTGAAACTTTTCAGAGAGCAACCCATTTGTATTGACTGTAGCGTACGGATCGGCATATAGCAGTTTAACTAAATGAATAAAAGTAGGACCTAAATTAAATTTTTTAAGGACAGCGAACAAGAATGGCCATTCGATCCTATCAAAAGCTTTCTCTGCGTCGAGAGAAACAATAAAGGCGGGATCATTACTTTTTCTAATAAAGTCAATAATATTCAACAGTCTACGTATATTATCAGAACCATATCGCATCCTTATAAATCCAGTTTGATCTGGGTTAATGAGTTTAGGTAAGATCACCTCTAATCGTCGTGCCAGAGCTTTAGCAAAGATTTTACAATCTGCATTTATTAAGCTGATTGGTCTGTAAGAGGCGCAGTCTTCTGGGTCTTTGTCTTGCTTAAGTATTAAGCTTATTGAGGCGGTTTTCCAGGTTTCAGGCATGGTAGTTTGGGTACACAGATCCATGATAACTGGCATCAATATAGGCTGAAGTTCAGGCCAAAATGTTCTATAAAATTCAGCAGGGTAACCATCCAGTCCCGGTGTTTTCCGTGAAGGCATTGACTGGACAGCACCAAAAATTTCTTCGGGGGAGAAAGGGGCATTAAGACTGCATCTGTCATTGTCTGAGACCACCGGAAGTGGTATATTATCTAAATATGCAGTAATATCAGATTCTAAAACTTTATTTTGAGATTTATATAAGGATTCATAGTAAGTTTTAAAGGTTGTATTGATCAACTTTGGATCGTATGTATGCGAACCCGTCAATGTCCTCACAGATTTTATTAATCGCTCTGAATGTTCTTTTTTAATCTGATAAGCCAATAACCTACTAGGTTTGTTCCCATATTCATAATACTTTTGTTTAGAAAGGAATAGTAATTTGTTAATATGACTTGTATATTCTAGATTAAGTTTAGCTCTGGCACTACATAAAGAAGCCCAGTTAGATTTGTTAGGATTTGATTTGTGCAACTGCTCATGATATGCTACTTCTTTTTCTAAATACATCCGATTTTGTATTTTCATTTTTTGACATGATGAGGTGTAAGATATAATATGCCCACGGATTGTGGCCTTCAAAGCTTCCCATCGCATAAATGGTGAGACATTACAGTCCTTGTTAAATTCCCAATATTCTTTGATCCAGTAACGTACTAGGTCACAGAATGCAGAATCCGATAGAAGGGAACAGTTAAATCTCCAGAGTCTGCTTTTACATACAGGAGTGCCAAAATTAACATGTACACTAACTGGGGCATGATCTGATAAGACAATTGAACCAATCTGGCAGGACTGGACTGTGTGGACAAAGCTACTTGGGATAAAGATATAGTCGATTCTGGAATAAGAAGCATGTGGGTTAGAATAAAAAGTGTAATTTCTAGTCGATGGGTTTAGTTCTCGCCAGATATCAACTAGATCAGTATTCTTACACGTCTTTTAAAACTGATGAAGATCTAGAATTAGAAAATGTGCTGGGTGAAGATCTATCCATTACATGGTCCAATGTGCAGTTAAAGTCACCTGCCAAGAGTCCCATCCCTTTACAATGTTGATTAAAAGATAATACTATGTCCAACATAAATTTGGGGGAATCCTCATTGGGGGCATAGACACTAAGTATGCTAACATGTTGACCCAACAGTATACCTGAAATTAAAACAAATCTTCCCTCAGGGTCATTAATTTGAGATTCACATATAAATGGTAGATGCTTACTAATTAAGATTGCAGTACCTCTTCTGTGTGGCATTGAGGGATAAGAGGAGAAGAAAACCTGCCCAACCCAATCTCTTTTTAATTTTAAATGCTCTTTATCGGAAAGGTGCGTCTCCTGGAGAATTGCTATAGAAGTTTTCTCTTTTTTCAAAAAGGTTAAAAAAATTTTCCGCTTAACTGCGTGGCCCAAACCCTTTACGTTCCATGTAGTACATTTATATAGACTATCCATATCTTACCAGAAAAAGGATGTATGTCTTGACTATATGTGTGGCCCATGTGAGAGACTGAACATTGAGTGCCTTTTGTAATCTAACAACTATAGAACGACCCAGTAAAACCCATATCCACCCTCCCAACCCCATCCCCAAACGACAGGGTAACAAAACTAAAAATGAAGCATAGTGCCCTATTGGCATGATCAGGGGGAACAACATGAAGCGCCCAGAGAACGGCAGCAAAGCAACCGAGACAGCCCCAACCATCGGCAAAAACAAAAATGACAGACATGACGCCAATCACCACTAGAGGAAAAGAAGATAAAAATACATACATAATTAAAAAAGAAAAAAAAATACTACTTGTTATAGTGAATGCCATAATTAGAACGAGTTCCGCATCACAACTGGGCCGAGACAAACGTGATTTGCATCAACCGTATGCATTCCATAAAACAGAGCCTCGAACCCGGAGAATGGCGCCTGTCAACTATTCACCCCAGTGACTTGAGAAGTCATAGTCATTCAAGAGTTTTTTCCGCTAACTCCTGTGAATGTGTGGCCTCAAGAGTTTTCAAGAAATCCTGAGCTGCAGCCGGTGTCGAAAACAGATGTATTTTCCCTTTGTGAAGACACCGCAGCTTTGCGGGGTAAGCAAAGCCCCGGTACATGTGCTTAGCCGCAAGGGTATTTTTCACCGCTTCGAACTCCCGGCGACTCCTCATTACCTCTGCGGAGAAATCTTGGAAAATATGAATGGTGCTATTGTTATGCAGGACGTGCCGTTTCACCTGGGCAGCTCGAAGCACCATCTCCCTGTCGGTGTAGCGCAAGAACCGGACCGTAATGTTCTGTGGCGTCGTCTTCGAATTTGAGAGCACAGTAGGTGTTCTGTGCGCCCGTTCGATCTCCAAGCTCAGTTCGGCGGGAAGCTCCAGCCAAACAGGGAGCATATCTCTTAGAAACCTTGCCAAATCGGAACCCTCAGCTTTCTCAGGGAGACCGATTATTCTCAGATTTTTGCGCCGGCTCCGATTTTCCAGGTCATCAACTTTTGTTAGCAATTGCGCTAGCTCTCCTTTCAACTTAGCTATCGCGGTCTGCTGAGTATGTGCTGAGTCGTCCAGCGTGGAGATCCTGTTCTCGACTTCAGACAGGCGGGCTTCATTAGAGGAAACTCTCTCTGTTAAAGTGACCAGCGATTCCTGCAGTGTGGATATGGAGCTACCGATGGTATTGAGGCGCGTGTCGATGCTGTCCAGCCGAGAGTCGATTAATCCAAGTCGAGAGCTAATTTCTCGCATTTCGGTTAGCACTGGGTCGTTTTGGCTAGAGTCGCCATGTTCGTCGAGGCTCTTCTTCTTAGCAGTGCTGGTGCGTTGAGGCCGTGAGGCATTAAAGAGCGGAAAATCTCGACTTTCTTGCGATTTAGACATGTCTTCAACACTTTAGGCGTTGAATAAAATAAAAAACAACAGTCTGTCCCTGGAATAAAATTATATATTTCCGACGGTGGGAACGGCGCCCAGATCTAAGCAGCCATCCGTTAGAAGGTGACACGCCCCCCCCATTTGAACATTTTAAGAAATGTCTTTATATCAAGGCTGTTTCTGAATCAAATTCAAAGACTTTCAAGTAAATTTAGTCTTGATACTAAACATACAAGAAAGTCTGGCCACTTCATTAGTTACACCTAACTTGTATCTATGCTCATTGTCCATTTTATCAGGTCCACTTATCATGCTGGTGCAGTCTGTAGTTCTGCAAATACAGGTTGTAGTCCATCTGTTTTTCTCTGCATACTTTGTTAGTGGTCAGAACCCCCACAGGATCACCACAGAGCAGGTATTCGGATAGCGGATCATTCTCAGCGCTGCAGTGACACTGACACGGTGGTGGTTTGCAGTGCAGTGCTGCAGTTTTTAAACACTGTGTCCACTCACTGTCCACCGAGTTGGTCCACCTTGTAGATGTGAAGTTAGAGATGGTTGCTTATCTGTAGATGCACAGATTGTGTTAGTCATCCTCTAGTCCTTCATCAGAGGACACTGCTGGCAGGATATGTTGGTCAGTGAACTATTTTCAGTCCAGCAGCAACACTGACTAGATTAAAAACTCAGCCACATGTCAGTGTCACTGCAATGCTGAGAATGATCCACCACCCAAATAACAGCCATCTTCTCATGGTGCTTCTGACCATTTGAGCCCTTCAATAAAACCAGTATATGTGACTTTTTATTGTAAAAATCATACAAGCCTGGTACGGCAATGTTTGGTGGCCTATATTTTAAATAAAGGGGGTCGCTAAAATGTAAATGAAACATAGTTTAGCATTTTACTGTAAAAGTTTGTGCAAAATAAAATAGAAAACAAAATAACTGATAATCAAAAAAAGAATGGTTTTCTTTGGCTCATTTATTGATGAACGGGGTAAAATGGGTGTAATAAATTATGCAGAAAACAGATGGACTACAATTTGTAACTGCAGAACTACAAAATACTGCTATATCGGGGTGCCCAAACATTTTGTCTTTTGGGGCAAAAATGAAACATTTGTAGTGGTAATGCAAATGAAGAAGGTAGGTTTGTTTCAAATGATGTTTTTAAAAATATTTTATGACATCACACTATATTTTGTTACTCATAATTTTATGAGTTACATAAAAATGTGTTTATTCTTTGTGTAAGGGGTAGGCATTTTCTGGTGAGCGAAATCAAACATTCTCACAGGCCTACTTTTACCCTGACCTGTATAGCAAGCAGACCTGAAAAAACAGACAATGAGTGTAGACCCAAGGTGGCAAATGAGTGTATGTCAGCTACACAGAATAAAATTGTATAGTTAATTGAGCTTCCTCTCCCCATTAAAAGTGTGTTCTCAACTGTCTTATCCAAAATAAATAAAGAATGTTTGATAACCTGAATTTTGATAAACTTGATCTCATGTTTGGTTAAAACAGAACCCCAAACCTACCTCCATTCCTTCTCTCTGTAACATTGTGATACCAGCCAAATCTCTGTAATTAATGGACAACATCTCCTCTGCCCCCGCAGACATATAGACTTGGCCATCAGTCAGACAGCCTGACACGTTGCACAGAAGAAGCCTCAGCAGCTCCGGCTTGTCTTTGCCAAAGTAACCAAACCTGAAAAAGCACACAGACACACACCCTAGCATGTTGATCTTTTGGGATGTGGTAGGAGCAATAAAAGACTGTGGTCATATACTGAAAAAGCACAAGGCTTTAATATGCAAACATTGAAGAAATTAGTTGAGAAAAGTTTCATGTAGTTCACCTCAGAACTCTTTGTTCTGCCACAGGCCAATCTATATCAACGTCAATATCAACACTGTACGCCGGCTCCATCTCAAAGTAGCCTGTCTTTCCGCCCTGAGAAAGAAAAACAGCGTTAAATGAGAGCATAGCACCCGGCCTTTTTCAAACATCTTACATATGATATACCATAAAGAAATGCTACAATAAACGATTCAACACTGTTAGGAGCTCTGGTCTCAGCACATGACATGTATTAAGAAACAGTTTTAAGAAAAAATATACAGCCATATAATTGCCCCTTTATTCAGTTAACCTCTGTGAGAATCCAGAAATATCACAGTGCAATTCTGTTTAATAATTCTTACACAAAGTAATTCCGTGATATTTTAAGTTAGATTTGGACCTCAGATAGGATTGTCTTGGAACATAACGTCCTATAGCAGTATGTCCAAAGTAGAAATGTGTTGATTATGGGCATTATGGGCTGATGCCAATAATCCATATTTTACACTTATTTATTATTGTCCTGTTATGGTGCTTACTGTGAAGGTAATATAGAAATTTACACAGAAACAACCGTAATCACGACTGTAATCTGTAGCATCTAAATACATCTGCCTGACGCACATGCACGCAAAGAGGAGCCGGTATTGTTCAATTCCTCAGTATGTTACAGCATGCCACTCAGCTTTTTGCCATTAATACATTAAATTAAAGCCATATCAAGACCACAGAAAATGCAACCAGCATCACTTAGACATTAACAGTGTTTTGCCAGCATACAATAAACGCGTTACGAAATATCAGTTTGAAATATCGAAATCCTAGCATCAGTCCGATATCTATATGATTCCAATATCACTGCGCATCCCCAGTCCAAAGGCATCTAAACAGATATAAAGCCCCCCAGCACTGATACCTTTGGGATGAGTTGGAGCACTGTTTTGTGACCAATACCAGTCCCTGACCTCACTAGACTGAAAGCAATCAAATCCTCACAGAGGTTCCAAGATCTTCAACAGAGCCTTCTCTGGGGTCCACATCATAGGGCTCTAATATTTTAAACCATGGCTCACCTGCAAGAGTCCTTTGCCTATAAGCTCTTTGGTGGCAAAATAAAAGGATCCATTCTCACATAGTTCTCCGGCCCAGTCTTGACGACGGGGTCTCTTGGCTGGGTTCAGGTTCAGAGCCTTAGTGCTGGTGGCTTCTTTGTGGGAAAAAAAGACACAAAACGCTCTTCAACAGGGCTAATACATGCAGTTTTAGCTTATATGATATGAAGTAGTTTATACTTGAGAGAACTCACAAAAGAATTTTATTTTTTTAAAGTCTTTCAGTTTAGGTACAAAACATACCCAGAAAAAAACACAGTACATCCTAATCTGACTGAACTCTAGTTCCACCTGAAAGGCTAAACGAATAAGCTGGAACACTGTTCTTTACAGTAAGTCATTCTGACTTCTATCTGCCAGTTTCCTAGACATAATTTTAGCTTTGGACCTGATTAAAAAGTCAATGCCAATTCACCATTGAAAATCCTTTTTTGTCCAGGTTTTACAAGTGAAACCTGCTCTGCTCACTTAGATGTTTACTAACCTCCATTCTTAACCTCCAGCCAACGGAAGTGATATCGGCGGACGACTGAGAAGACAGACTCATAGCCTTTCTTGGTAATCATCTCCACAGCCTCCTTCAAGTGGTCTGGGTGAAGGCATGGAGACGTAGCTTGGATGTTACAGATGACGTCTACCTCTGCAGATGGAAACCGGACACAGTTCAACAACAGACCAACTAGCAAAATATACTATGGAATTTAGGACAAAGCAAGACAGGAGTCATCACTGGCAGACGTGACTCATCAAATGCTACACTGACCGATCTCTACACCCTTATTTTCACCTCTACATTTACTCAAATCTGCACAACATTTTGTATGAATACGGGACTTCCGGTGGCTCGAGAAACCGAATGGCAGCATAAGTTACAGCTCCGGTATTGGCCAATGAAACCCCCGAAATTCAAGGAACTTTGATATTTAAACTGAAAGGAAAATGAGCGGGGACAAAAACAGAAAAACGAGGTCGGGGTTAAGAAGCGTCACAGAGCGAGAAACGGAGAAAGAAGTCGAGGCAGAATATCTATCAGGGGAAAATGGCGACACTGGTGACGAAGGGAACGCGATGGTAACGCTGGACTCCATTCGCAAAGTTGTATATGAAGCTGTGTCTGACCTGAAATCGGACATGAGAAAAGAGCTATCCGAATGATATGAAGGTGCAATTGGACGAACTGTCTACCGAATTTAATCAGAAAATATCAGAGGCTATGGGCCAGATCGGGGAGACTACGCAGCGACTCGGAGAAGTGGAGAGAAGTATGGCGGAGGCAGAGAGGTGGGATATTGGAGTTAAAGACTCCTTAATTCAGCTCATCAAAAACCAACGAACATTGCAGGCTAAACTGTCGGACCTGGAGGGTCGCTCCCGGCGGAATAACATCCGAATATACGGCGTGCCGGAGGATGTCGAGGGCACCTCCATGCACAGTTTTGTTGATGATTTCATCAAAGCAGAATTGGGTGACCTTTCAGACTTGGAGCTCGGCATTGAAAGAGCTCACCGCGCGCTGGCCCCTAAGCCTCCAGCTGGCATACCACCGCGCTCGATTGTGGTTCGGTTCTTGCAGTTCACTATCAAGGAGAAAGTCCTACAAGCTGCTTGGAAGAGGAAAATTTTCGTGCAAGATAAAAGGGTGTTCTTTGATCACGACTACGCGGAGGAAAAAAGAGTACGTCCCGATCAAGAAAGTACTCAAGGAAAACAAAATTCGCTTCCAAACCCCAATGACCAAGCTGCGGGTGCACCTCGACTCGGGCACGGTCATCTATAACAGTGCTTCGGAAGCAGCTGAGGATTTGGCGAGGAGAGGAGTTCCAGTGGGATCTATTCGGGTGAAAAAAGCGGATGACATCACGGAGGAGTCTCTGGTTAGGCTTCTCCCTTGGAGCATGGTAGGAGCGAGTCGAGTGGGGAATAAATTCAAGTTTCAAGAAGGTATAAGGAAGAAACTTAGTAGTTTTGAAAGGATAAATCGAGAGCAAGAGAACGTGGAGGACTAATCCCCTACCACCCGCGGCAATTGACAGGATCTAATTGTAAGTGACGCTGGGGAAAGGTTACTGAAAAAGAAGGGGAAAAAAAGAAAATACCTCTGTAAGCAAGGAAAAAAATGGTTTGTGATTACTAATGGCCGATACCAATAACGTGACTCCCGCCACAACACTATAGCAGGGTTGGTTAGCACCCTTTCGTTTCGGTTTGTTTGTTTGGTTTATTTCTTGAGTCTGCTAACGAGGGGCCCCACTATGTGGCTAATACCCCTCAGATCTGGAGGATATAGTGATTCCTCCTGGTTGGAAGCCCAGTTTACTTTCTTGTTGGAATTGTATAATAGTTGTAGAGGTGCAGTTGTTTTTGTTTGTCAGTGTTGTAAGAGGTCTGTGGGTCGATTGAGGCAGGTACATGAAAGTCTGCTTGGAGGAACAAAAAATGTATTTACAATACTATAATATTATGTCTCTGAACGTGAACGGGTTAAACAATCCCATTAAAAGGAGCAAAATGATTACTAAGCTGAAAAGGGAGAAAATCAGCATAGCCTTTTGGCAAGAAACACATTTATCATCTGTTGAACATGAGAAATTAAAAAAAAATGGGCTTTCGTAATACTTTTTTCTCCTCATTTAAATCAGAGAAAAAGAGGGGAGTTGCAATATTAATACCCAATTCAATTAGTTTTGAGTTAATTTCTGAAGTAAAAGATAAAAAAGGTAGATATGTTTTAATCACAGGTAAACTTGAAAATAAGGTAGTTACACTTTTAAATATTTATGCCCCCCCAGGATGCAATACAGCCTTCTTTAAGAAAATATTTGACTTACTAGCATCTAAAGCTCAAGGCACCCTTATTTGTGGTGGAGACTGGAATCTGCTATTGAATCCTAGATTAGATACTACCAATAAAATGAGAAAAAAGAATTCTGTAGAGATCCAGATGAATAATATGCTCCAAGATCTGGGCCTAATGGACGTATGGCGAGATATGAATGGAAAAAAAATAGATTTTACTTTCTATTCTGCACGTCATAATATACACTCCAGAATCGATTATTTCTTAATGTTTTCAAAGGACCGTCATAGAATCAAGAGCTGCAATATAGGTCCTATGGACCTATCAGATCACAGTAGTTTATATTTAAAATTACATCTTGGTGGTACTCCCAAGAAAACTCTGTGGAGGTTAAACACGGGAATGCTAAATGATACTAAAAACTTAAGGCCACAATGGCAGACGAATTGAAGTCCTTCTTAATCCATAATAACAATGGAGAGGTCAGTCCAACTATATTGTGGGATGCAGCCAAAGCCTTTCTTAGAGGGAAAATTATCGCTCAAACAGCTCTTATTAAAAAGTTAAAAACCCAAAAACTGCAGAATTTGGAAGATAAACTTAAAGACCTGGAACGGCTTCATAGTTTAACACAAGACCCATCTGTCCTCCAACAAATGAGACCAATTAAACAAGAAATATCTAAAATTCATAGTGAAGAGATTGAAAAGAAAATAAGATATATGAAACAAAGATTTTATGAGGCGGGACCAAAAGCAGCAAAATTATTAGCCTGGAGGATTCGTAAGCAACAAGCAGATAGCTTCATCTATAAAGTTAGAGACCCTGTAACAAATAAAATAAGAACGAAATTAGAAGATATCCACAAATCTTTTGAAACATATTATAAATTATTGTACACTCAACCAGAGAAAGCCAGCAAACAGAATATAGAACAATTTTTAAAATCATTAGATCTCCCTTCTCTGGGTAAACAGCATAATGATGAATTAATTTCTGAAATTTCAAAAGAAGAAATTGATGCAGCAATATCGGCCCTCAGTGTAGGAAAATCGCCAGGCACGGATGGATATCCGCCAGAGTGGTACAAGTTGATGAGAGAATCCTTGCTTCCTTTACTTGAAACTTGTTTTAATTACACTATGAGGGAGGGTTTTCTTCCTCCTTCATGGAATGAGGCCATTATCTCCGTAATACCAAAGGAGGGTAAGGACAGGATGGACTGTAGGTCTTATAGACCAATAAGTGTTCTCAATGTAGATTATAAATTGTACGCATCAATTTTGACCAAAAGGATGGAGAAGTTGATGCCTTTTCTGATAGATGAGGATCAAACCGGGTTTATAAAAAACAGACAAACCCACGATAATATAAGGAGAGCCCTTCATATTATTGATGTTATTAATAGGAGGGAGTGTAGTGCTATTGTCCTTAGTTTGGATGCGGAAAAGGCCTTTGACTCGGTTGGCTGGGAATTCTTATACCAGGTGATGGATAGATTTGGATTTAGTAAAACGGTTATACAATGCATCAGAACACTATACTCATCACCATCTGCTATGATTAAAATTAATGGGTCTCTCTCTAACTCTATAGCCCTACAGAGAGGCTGCAGACAAGGATGTCCGATTAGTCCGACTCTCTTCAACTTATACACTGAGCCCCTGGCCCAAATCATTAGGCAGGACAGAAGTTTAGAAGGTATAAATATTGGGGGAACAGAATATAAAATTGCTTTGTATGCTGACGATGTGCTGGTGACATTACTAAACCCAGGATCAGGTGTACCGTCATTGATGAATATCTTGAAAATATATGGTAATTACTCTGGATATGTACTTAATATTCAAAAAACACAAGCTTTGACATTTAATTTTAGCCCCTCTAAAGAATTGGTAAATAGGTATAACTTTAATTGGCACTCTTCATACATTCAATATCTTGGGGTCCGTTTATCAAAAGATCTGTCACTTTTGATGGCCATAAATTTTAATCAGCTTAATAAAAAAATATATAAGGACTTGGACAGATGGGCCTTGCTTCCCCTAGATATGGGCAGCAGTGTAAGGTCTGTCAAGATGAATATCCTCCCCAAATTATTATATTTATTTACAGCTTTACCTATAGAGATTCCTCTCAAACAGTTTAGGGAATGGGACACACATATTTCTAGGTTTATTTGGAATAAAAAGAGGCCTCGAGTAAAATATTCTACTTTGATGCTGCCGAGAGAGAAGGGAGGCATGGCGCTTCCAAGCTTAAAGGATTATTATGTTGCTGCTCAACTAAGACCACTTGTACTTTGGTGCAATCCAACCTATGAAGCGAAATGGAAGGATATAGAATTTTCACTAATGGATATTCCAATACAGTCAGTTTTAGGCTGTCTTGATAGGACTAAGGAATTATTGCAAATAAAGAATCAATGGGTTGGTTTTTCCTTTAAAATCTGGCTTGAGGTGATTAAAAGATTCCAGCTTCATAGAGAAATTAAAGTACTGAGTTGGCCAGCTTATAACCCACATTTTACTCCAGCATTGTATGATCATAGGTACAGACAGTGGTCTATAGGTGGTATTACCGCCCTCTGTAGAATGCTGTCAAATGGGGAATTTGACAGTTTCCAGAAATTATGCGACTCATTTGACCTTGGAAAACAGGATTTTTTTAGATATTTACAGATCCGTCACTTCTATATGAAAGAGGTTAAAGGCCCCAACCCGGGTCCTTTCTCAGGACTGACTCAGTTTTTTATGGAGGCATATAGGGGTGAAGGAAATAAAGGGGTTATTGGCAAACTCTACAAAATCATTTGTTTAATGAATAAAAATTCAACTAATTATGTGAGACTTCGATGGGAACAAGATATACAGGAAAAGATAACAGAGGAAGTATGGTCACGAGTATGGGAAAACCATTGTACTTCCACTAATTCATTGATTTGGAGGGATTTTTGCTGGAAGAGTCTGATCAGATTTTTTATAACGCCCAAACTCAAGTTAAGGTTAACTGGGGCCCACTTCCCCTGCTGGAGGGAGTGTGGGGCAATGGACGTAGGCCATGCGCATGTAGTATGGTGTTGCCCAAAAATGCAATCCTTTTGGATTAATATGGGGAGAATTATTTCCGACATCTTGGGTTTTAATGTGGAGGTCTCATTTAACTCTATGTATCTTGGTGTAACCCCTGAAGGGTTAAGTAAGAGTGATTGCTACCTATTGAATATATTTCTGGTCGCTTGTAAGAAAGCTATTACTAAGTGCTGGCTCAGAAGAAACCCCCCAACTGTGGACCTTTTTGTTGAAATTGTTACTTATATTCGCTCCATGGAAATGTTGACTTACTCCGTACGTCTTCAAAAGGAGAGAGGGAAAAAAAAACTGGATGAAATGGGATTGCTATACCCGAGAAAGCGTGGTGAACTGAGACCTTTGACTCTGATCATTCTGCCTTTTGTATGTAAACAGAGATTGTTGTTGAGTTTTATGTTTGAAATGTTGTACCTGTAAACCTCCGACTTTAAATAAGATCTCATGTACCTTTGATTTCTCCTGTCGCCTCTTTTGTTTTTCTTTATGGATATGAATGTGAATTTGCACAAAACAAAAATTAAAAATTAAGTAACAAAAAAAAAAACATTTTGTATGAATACGAAGAAGATGGTCGCATGTTAAAAAACGTCAGTGAGGAGCTTCTGCTGCAGTCAGGGGCTTGTGTGAAGTAACATGAAAATGGGAAAAGCAGAAAGTATTTGAGTCATCAAGTTGGTCATAGATCAGGCATGGAACAACACCAGTATCTAATCGATTTGCTTTTAACCATTAATCCATGTTATGATTCTTCACAGGTTCCTTAGAAAAGACAATGGTTCTATTGAGCACCTTTAGTTCTATATAGAGCCAATTCATCCTTTAATGGTTCCTTGCATTGTGAAATGGTTCTTCAGGTTGATGGAGAGTGTGTTGTGAATGGTTCTATATAGCACCTTTTTGAAAATGGTTCTGTATAGCACCAAAAAGGGTTCCTCTATAGCTATGATGTCAAGTTTGTAACAATAGAGGAAGCCTTTTGGGTATAGCACCATATACAACACATTCTCCATCAGTGTAAAGAACCCTTGCACCATGCATAGAACCACTTAAGCATGAACCATTGCCCTCACTAATGAACCATTCAAGCTCGCGCAGAAAGCCATCACAGACAGATGGATGGACGGATGGACGAACGAATGAATGATCTTGCCTGGGTGATGTCTGGAGAACTCCTGAAGAGTTTCCAGGGAGGTTGATGTGTCTTTGGACACTTTTGCACTCCTCCTGTGCACTCGAGCCCCCCACTTCTTCGCCTCTCTCTCAATCTCGTCGTGGTCTGTGGAGACCCACACGCTGCCGAAACACACAGAGAGCGTTATAACACAGCCAGCACACTGGATCACCCTGCTGAGGGGGTGGTGACCCTGTCGTGCTGCATTCACACCCGCTTCAGACTGATCCCTCCAGTTACCTGTCAAACACCCCAGAGTCCACAGCTGCTCTTAAAACCCATCCGATCAGCGGCACTCCAGCGAGCCTCCTGATGTTCTTCAGGGGAATGGCCTTACTGCCGCCTCGGGCCAAGATCACCGCGGCTATGTGTCCGTGTCTGTGTCCGCCCTCGTCAGTACTGGCTGGTCTCTTTCGCTTAGCGGAATGACTGTTGCTCGGTTCAGCCGCATCTTTTTTCCTTGCTGTATCCATTCAGAGAATCCTCGCATGCGTTACTGCGGCCAACCAAAGGTCTGGGAAGGAAACCGCAAACGCTTCCCTAACAAATAGTAAAGGGACCCATGAATCTGAAGCTTGGAGACGTGTAAAAAAAAAAAATGTCACCCATTGCTTCGAATCACTGTGTCGGTACTTGATTCGTTCTACAATGATCATGTGACCAATGACGTCCGAAGCTTCGGGGAAAAGATTCAAAAGCAGCAAAGGCCCCCGGGAGGGTTGGGGGTCGAGAGAGAGATTCCTTTCCTGAAAAATTTCCTAAAATTATAACAGCGGTGTTAAAATGTTTTATGCTGCTCTGTGTTCAGGAAATGATCGCGTTCTTTTACATTAAAAATGCTTAAGCGTTTATAAACTATGATTTTGCTCAAATGCTCCACATCAACCCATTCATTTTGGACTCCATCTAGCGTTTGAGAAAACCGGAAGACATTGCAGTGTGGGAATTCTCCTCTTTTGAGCAAAAATAAATAAATAAATGCTTAAACATTTTTAATGTAATGCACCACGTAACGGGTTTGTCAACCGCCAAAAAGCCCAGAAGAGGAAAGTCGCACATACACGACACAGCATGGAGTACAAAGACTGGTCGTTTATCAATCCATTTACATGTGTGGCTAAAAGAGTGGGACATGACAGTGTCAATAAAGATATCAAGATTAAGATTAGCAGATAAATAAGACTTAATGTCTTCGTGCTGAAATGCGGGTACGCTGGAATAAAAGGTAGATTTTTCAGTGTCAGTGAAGAGCTGAACAGCACTGCTCTGTCCACTCAGCGCTCCTGCAGACTCTCCACACTCCGAGTCTTTCCGAGTCTTCCCGAGTCTTCCCGAGTCCCAGAGTGAACACTCCTACAGTCTGTGAGCTTGACAGGCACTTTTCTCTGTAGGGCTGTTTGAAATATTCTCGAGACCCCAACAATACGGACGATTTAATCATTATATAGTTGCTTCGTTCTTCTTGTAACAAATGAACACTAAAAAGCTAAATGTGTACATTGAGGTTGTGAGCTAATATTTGTGTACCTGTTTTTCCCTTAAGCTCCTGGTGTGCGCGCCGTTTCTGTTTGATCCTCACCTGTTTATTTAAAAGGTGGTTAGCTCTTACAGACACACTTCACAGCCAAACCGGAGGTGAAGAGATGGGGGCACAGGGGGAGTGTTTTCTACTCTGAACTACGCCCATACGTTTTTAGGGTCTCAGTGTTACATGTTACATCATTCACTAAACATCATCAGCCGGGAGGGGAACTTCAAACATCACCCCAATATCTCACACACACACACTCAGGACCTCACTATCATATAATACCAAACCTATTATACACACACACAACAACTACCGAAATACAACGTGTTACTATTTTTACTATTATTTTTAGAATCTCGTTTCTACTTTTGGTCACCAGAATATCAGTCTCCTTAGAGACCGTCAAAAATTGCCAGTGCCGACTATATTTCAAGTCGTCACGGCGGGGTATTGGGTAAAGTTTTCAACTAGCAATAATCGCGCCTCGGATAAACCTCATAGGCTACGATACTGCCACTGCGCAAAGCTGACGAACAACAGGCTGAGGAGGCCGTTTGAGCGGAGAGCGCCCAAATCACCAGTACGGTTATCATAGTGCCGACCGGGCAATCTCGGACAATAACTCAACACATAATATCAGAAACTCATGTACGTTCAAAATCCGAGCTAGTCATTTCCTTTTGTCTGTATTTGAGATAAACGGCTTGAAACGCCTAAAAAATGGCGCAAGGCATCATGGGAGCAGTCGACGTCATCAACCTCTTAACAGTGAGCGATTTATGAATAAAATGCTGTGATGTTCATGTAGTAAAACTAAATATAAAGTAAAAACTCCTCCATAAAACACTAATGGAAGTTACTGCATTATTACTTTACTGTTCTGATCGAGGAAACCGTGTCATGTCATGGTGGTCGTACAGAACAGCCACTAGATGGCGGTATTGACCCTTTTTACAAAACTGTAACAACATTCACACACAAAGCTCATCACTTTCGCTAAAATAAGTAATAAAATCACTACTCAAAGAAGCCAAGACGCTGAATGGTGGGTTTTCTTAGATGAACTTATGAGAAACCTGAATGAGACACCATGTTGTTCGCGTCGTCCACGAAATACGGTTCCGTATTTGAGTTCTGGTGTTCTGTCGAGCTTCATCTGTACTTGTATACATAAACTACGCCGTGCTACACAACACATAAAAATGGAGAAAGAAAACAGTCCACCGGTTCACCAAATCCTGATGACCCCATTTGTACAGAAACTTCTCTCTTCTTCTCGCCTTTCTTTATTAAAACGGGAATCAAGGAATCGATTCTTTTGGGGATCGAGTCGCCAATATTGATTAGAACGAGGACTGCGAGTCGATCCCAAAAAGAATCGATTCCATGATTCCCGTAGAGTCTAAAGCTTTGGGCTCGATTGCACTCAGTGACGCCCAGAGGAATCTAAAAAAGTAAAATGTACCTTCGTAACAAATGTGTTACGATCAGTGCCAAACATTTACCCACCTAAAGGAGCTGAGTGAGAAGAACCACGTACAGTTTAGCCAGCTAAGTTAATTTAGTCAGCGTCAGGTCTCCAGATTTGCTTGGTCAAAGGCTTAATATTTAATATTGTACTCTTTATTTTGCCAGTTGTCCTTCTATAAGTCTTGGTTTTCTGGAATCGATTATAGAGTAGAATCGACTCGGAGTCGACTCCTGGGAGCCGGTTGATGCAATACCGCCCCCTGTGCACAGGATGAAATCTGTTTTGACTTTCTCAGACAGCATACAGAGCCGTCGAATCAGTGGTTTAAACTTCAGTCCTGTCCTCTGAAGTATTCTCTGCCCCCCGAACGCCTGAGCCAGCTTATGACCTTGAAAATTCTCTAAATGAGTGAGATTAGGTGTGTTAGGAAAGGAATAATAGGAGCTGTGTAGGTCTGTTGTTTTCATTGTGTAGCTTGCTTTGTTCAGTTAATATGTTTAATTTACATTAAATATCAGAGTTATAAAGCAGATTTACGTATGGAAAACAAATGATAGAGAACCAGATGAAAACATTTTATTAAGTTTTTCAACATTTCTCAATTATACACTGACCATTCCTTAGATTTTTTTCTACAATAAATGTGCGCAAAAAAAAGTTCCTAGAATATATCCTATATATAACTCTGTGACAATAATACAGGTTCAGAAAGAATCCTTTGGATCATGTTCAATATTAGCGCTGCAATCTACTGAACTAGTGACGTACCATATAAAAGACAACAAAACCATCAACTTCTGAAACAAGATGTTATAGTTTATTCCTATGATAACTGATTCTGTGCAACTCACAAATGAACAAGAAAGAAAACAGAATAACGGTTGCTTCTTCATCAGAACAGGCGTGGTAGAGATAGAAAGAGAAGAAGGGTCAGGCCCTGTAGAGTGAGAGGAGAATGGAGAGTCCATGAACCTTCTAAAATCAGGAGGATGGCCCAGGGTAGCCATGCCTCGTGTCATGTGACAGCCACATTCAGTGCCCCCTCAGGGGCGAGGAACTGGACTTTTGGTATGGCCAGCGCTGAGTTGTTGCGGCGCATGGAGTTGGCCTTGCGCATGGAGTTGTTGCGGCGCATGGAGTTCCTCTTGCGCAGTGAGTTCTGATGCGAAAGCTCGCTCTTTTGCAGCGTTTGTATGAGGATAGAAGGCTTCTCGTCCAGCTCACGGGCACTGCAGCGTGGTGTGGCCACCTTGACTGTGTTGCCAAACTTGGAGTAGTCCACTGAGTAGATGCCCTCCTCTTCAGTGACAATGGGCACAAACCGATGGCCCCACTGGATCTCCTCGGTCACATAGGAAGTCCGGGCCTGGGTGGTGATGCCTGTGGTCTCCACCACGCCTTCCAGGATGACAATGACCTCCAGGTCGCTGCACTGCAGCTCCATGGCGGACAGGTCATACAAGGGGCTGTCCTTGTCTATGACATGGCAGATGACGAGGGGTGCCAAGAGGAAGATGCTGTTGCTGGCCACGGCGCTCTCGGTCTGAACATCTATCTGGTGGATGGGGATGACCTCTCCTTCTGGGGTGATTGTCTTGCGGACCACCTGGAGGCGCACAACGGCGCCAATGATCATGCTCTTGCGCAGGTCGCCCACACGGATCATGAAGCAGAGGCGGTTGTTGCGCAAGGCGATGCAGGCCTGGCGGCTGAAGATGAGCGTCTCAGCGCGCCGGTGGGACTGCGCCGTCTTCATGAAGATGCAGCCCAACATGATGGCGTTGATGATGAGTCCAGCGATGTTCTGCAGAATCAGCACAGTGATGGCTGTCGGACACTGCTCGGTGATCATGCGGCCACCAAAGCCAATGGTGACCTGCACCTCGATGGAGAAGAGGAAGGCGGAAGTGAAGGACCTGAAGAGGAACAAAGAGAAATTTTGAAGATTTGAGGAGTGGATCTACTGGAAATGAACAGCATTGCATTTAATTTAGATCCGTGATCATTAACCCTGCTCTTAGAAATCTAGTCCTGCAGGTTTCTCCTCAAAGCCATATCTGACACACTATCTAGCTAAACAAGGACCACTGAAGATAATCATGAGCTGAATTTGGTTTGTTACATCAGAGTTGGAGGAAGTTAGATCTCCAGAAGTAGAGCTAATGTAGTTGAACTTACAACAGGGGATGCACAATGATATCGGAATAGCATTAGTATCGACACATTTGCTTAAAAAAATATCGGCAGTGGACAGATTTGACAGCTATTTCAAACTGATATTTGATATCATATGTATTGTGCAAGGGCAAAATAAATAGCCAATTTTTTTTTTATTATTTTTGAATGCTTTTTATTCATTTTACAGCATTTATAACCCTCCAGAAATAAATGTTCTCTTTCTCTGTAATAGTCAAGGTGGATCTAGTCGCAATTTCTACATTTTATATATATATTTGGTATTGGCCATGTTCATATAGGATAAAGGCATAGGATATAAAGATGCATCCCTCCTTACAACAAAATGTACTTTAAGCTGGTGCTTACAACTATCCCAGCTTCACCAAATGTTACATTGCCAAAGTGAAGAGTACTGTGTTGACAACATCCAACTCAACTTACTTCACATTGGTGACGCACTGCTCGATGCCAGGCTGCCTGTCCAGATCCCCGTGGGCGAAAGCCACCAGCCACCAGCCCATGGCGAAAAGCAGCCAGCTGCAGAGAAAGGTCATGGTGAAGATGACGAGGGTGAAGCGCCACTTGAGGTCCACGAGCGTGGTGAAGACGTCCTGCAGAAAGCGGCCCTGCTCGCGGATGTTCTTGTGGGCGAGATTACAGGCGCCGCTCTTGGCGATGAAGCGGGCCTTGTTCACTCGGTCCCTGAACACGGGCTTTCTGGGGACCCGCGACACCAGGGCCGGCAGGGAGAACTCCTCAGGGATGATACTCTTCCTCGCCAGCATCGTTCCCACAGATCTCTGTCACTCACGAGCAGCAATCCATCCACCAGCCACCAAAAGCGGAGCGTCAGAAGCGCAGGTCCGTGCGCGCTCTCCAAACCGCTACCATCTTAACTCCGTCTCTGAAGGTCAGACGCATTCGAGCTGGACCAGTGTGCCGCGAGCTGTGTGGATCCGTGTCCAGCCCGCACGGCGAGGCGCTTTTTAAGATCCTACAAACGGGGCTCGGCCAACACGAGGCGTGCTACGCGCAGCTTTACGCACAGTCTGCAAAAAGTTCCCTCCTGGACAGAGAGAGTCCAGCAGCGCTGCCGAAGCCCAAACCGCGCTGACGTCCCTCTCATGGGCGGTCACGAAAGCCCTGCCTGGGAGAGGCTTGTGGACTTAAACGAGATCTGTTCTCAGCAGCCAGATGTGACAGCAGCTGGAAGTGATGTGCGCTCTCGCTTCTTAAGTGTAAAACTTTTGCAACATTTAGCCACGTGGTGCGCGCTATTAGATTAACAGTTCGTTTGAAGCGATGCTGTAATTTGGGGAGGTGGATGAGTGTTTTGCGCGTATCAGGATTTGGTCCCACTTCTACAAACGGGCAAATATTCACAGATTATCCGGGGATTCTCAACTATGGAAACTTATTTCCGCCTCTGGAGAAAAATGTATAGCTATATATATATTTTATATGTAGCCAATTATGACTTAGTATCTCATAATAATGACTTGCTGTGTCATAATCATGACTTAATATCTCATTATTATGACTTTTATCATTATGACTTACTTTCTCATAATTATAATTTAAGATTGCATAATAATTACTCTCATAATAATCTCATGATAATAAGCAAAGTTTCTCTATATAAACTTAAGTCATTATTATGAAAAAGTCATAATTATGAGATGCTAAGTCATAACTATGACATGGTCAGTTATTATTATGAGATACTAAGATAATTATGAGATGCTAGGTTATAATTATGTCATTGAATCTCATTATTATGATACTAAGCCATAATGATAAGATTGTAAGTCCTAATTATGACTTAGTAAATCGTTATTATGAGATACTAAGTTATAATTACGAAAAGACCTCATTGTTATGAGATAGCAAGTTATAATTATGAGATACTAAGTCATAATTATGGAAAACTTTCTCAATATTATGACTTAATAAATGGCTATATATTTTTTTTTTTTCCAGTGGTAAAAACGAGCTTTCATATTCAGCAGCTTTATGGTTAGGGTTAGAATTAGAATAAGAAGCAAGGCTGGTGCTTAGGATCATATTTGTTGAAAATGGTGAAAATTTTAGCCCAGCGTACTAGAGTTGGGTTTGGATTACGATTAGAACCAGCAGTGTGGTTACGTTTAGGATTAGATTTTGGGCTGGATGAGCATGGACTATCCCTAAAAAAGTTTATGGATTCAATTTAATGAAAAAAGATTCAATTCAGATTAGCAAGAAATGTAAAAGGCAAAATAAATGGTAAAAAATCCAAACAAATTGGATTCAGAAGTTAGCAGGTTCAGTCAAAGGTGAACAGGAGGGGGCATCATGTAGCAAAGTGTCCAGTGCCTCTGCTCATCTTTCCCAGGCTTTGCATTTCATACAAGTTTTTGTGGTTGCCAGATTTTGCACTTTAAAGAAATATAAATGCATGCGAAACAGTAGTGGACATATACCAACTGCTGGTGTCTCAAATTAACAAGAGGTTACGTTGAGAATTTTTTTTTTTTCCATTTTTTAAAAGAAAAGATACAGTTGTATGCGAAAGTTTGTGCTTCCCTGGTCAAATGACTTGACCTTAATGTTTTGTTATTTTCTAAGTAAAAATAAGTGAATACATTCTATACACAGAACACACTTGGGTACATTTTAATGCACACTTACTGTTTATTTACAGAATTTAACATTTTAGAAAAATATTAAATATGGCCTGTACCATGACAAGTTGTTAAACTCAGCGAATAAATAGAAATTGTGTGCTAAAATTAGCAGAAAACAGATTTGTTTCCTGTAGAACGTGTTATTTTCACTCAACAAAAAATCAACAAAATGTAATCTTTAGTGACACATTATTTTGAGTGGTCCTTTTAGATGAAACACTCAACAGACTCTCAATAACATGTCAAAAACATATGAGGGTTAGGATTAGGTTTTGGGTTGAGGTTAAGGTTAGGGTTAGGATTAGGGCCAGAGTTAGGGTTAGGTTTTGGGTAAGGTTGGGTAAGGTTAGGTTTTGCGCAATTGGAAGTAACATATTAACAACACATCTACTTAATATAAGCAATGTATCAACAGAACATCTACAAGATATTTACTTCAGTGAACTCAGATGCTTCACTACTGCTACTTCACAGATATGTTGTTGATGTGTTACTGATAATCTGTTAAGAGTTTATTAATCACCTACAAAAGACCACTCCAAATAAAGTGTTACCAAACTTTTCCATATGGCTATTTTTATAAGGAACAAATGAGACAGACAGAAAGGCCCAAATTTCACCCAAATTTATTCAAGTGTAAAAAATTAGGCACACAGTATAATGACATGTTAAATGTTTATGCTACTAACAATAATTACATATGTACATTTAAGACAATCCATCATCCAACACAAAAAGTATGAAATATGTATTGCAAGTTTAATTCAGCACATCGCTGTGCATCATATGAAAAAAAAAAACATCTAATGAAAATACACATTTTCTGACATGACAAAGGCCAAAGCCTTAGGGAAGTAGTGTATGTGTGGTACGCAGTGATGTTTGGCAAATAGCAGTGTGTCCACAAAAATCACCCTCCAGAGTGAAGTGTGTTCACTACAGTTTGTACGCAGTGAGGGTTCATTGCCTTGACCAGCAGCAGCACTTTCCCATACAGTAAAATTGTATGGAGAAGGATTACGGCCAAAAGAGGGTCATGTCCTTTTGCTTTGTGAGGACTACACGCTGCTCACAGTTTATATAAGAACTGCTGGCTCTACTGGCTCCAGAGTGGAGAGTGTTAAACATTCTGTCTGCTTAACACAGTAGAGTGGTCTCCATTAGGAGACAGGAGAGAAACAGTGGCAGAAGTGTGTTAAGTAGATCACTCGGGTGTGAAGAGATCCTAGATCAGTTTTCTCAGCAATATTATTTAATATTAAAACATGAAGCAAAGAGTTAAACGGTGCATATTATAATAACTGCTATAAACTTCCAATCTAAACTGAACAAAACTAGGCTCAGTCCGCCTGTAGTGAAAAAGTGACATACTAAATTTGTTGGAAATGAATACATAATTTCCACACAAATAAAACAGTTCAACACAATTGTGTCTTTCAGTTTGCTTACTTTTGGCAATAACTGTACTGATGTATTTTATTCATGTGGAAATGAAGGAAATGTACACATTTGAACCAAGTAAATTCAGTGTGTCTGTTTTTACAGACTTTAAAATTAATAATAAACGCAAAGACAAATGTAACCTAAATCACACCACATACACTTATCGTGCCATGTGCCACCAGAAAAACTATGAGCAGCACAAACGAAAGAGCAAACCTAAAGCTGGAAGCTAAAATTAGGATTTGGCTTTAGCAGTGAAGCAGTACAGTGCAAAATAGAAAGTCTTTAGTGTAGATAAAAAATTTTGGTGGAGGGTCTGCCACATCCCCAGAGAGCACAAGCTGTCATTCTTCGTCACTAAAAGAGGCTGTGATGAAGGCCTCGGTGTTCACAGGAACATGGATTAAGATATGCTGTCCGTTAGAAAAAAATCTCTTTGCATAGTTATTTGTGCTCCTGAGGTGCGGGCAGCCTTCCTCCATCATCCCGAGGACTAGTCAGCAATGCACATCAGACAGACAGACAGACAGTTTGCCGGCTTGTATCATGCACCAGCAACCCTGTACAGTGTTGGTACCAGTTAGTACAGTATATTATCAATCATAAGAAAACCATTGCAACTCCATTTTCTTCGATGAGGTTACCAATCTGAAGATGTGAGGTTTTCTAATGACGTTGTGTAGCTGCTGATTTCTCACAAGTAATAATGTACACATATTAATTTAATGTAACAAAGAATAAGCATGAAAAAAATGAAAATCAAATACTGCTGTTACATCTCATGTAAAGTGATAAAAGGATAAAGGCGTGAGTAGACTGGACGGTGTGTCAGTTTACAGATCAGTCTTTTCTGGCGCTTGGGGAACTCGGCATGCCGTGCTTCTTTAAGGCGAAGGAGAAGAACTGTGTGGGATGGACGGGGTGATGGCGCGATGGGGTCGGTGCCTCTACATGTCTGCTTTGACGAAGGAGGCGAACATGCCGTCCTCTTGCTCCATCAGCGTCTCTGGTTTACCGTACTCTAAGATGTTCCCTCTCTTCATCACGATCACAAGGTCGGCTGTCAGGATAGTGTGAACTCGGTGCTAGTGGGAAAACACAGACAAACGGATATAAACACATATAAACAGACACGTACTGGTATGTACAGACTGATACACACCATTCCAAAGTTTGGAATGTTTTTAACAATATAAAACCAAGTTAGTTGAAGATAAATGTGTTAAAAGATTTTAATACAGTAGGAATCTAAACTCTGGGTGATTCTAAAAACTAAAGCATCAAGTACAAAGTTATAATGAAGTTTATACCAGAATGCCTTGTATTTTATAAGTGGTGATCAAACCTCGAGGCAGATAACTTGACAAAAACAACTGTAACTAGATAATTACTATGATTAAATAACAACTTCTTGCTCCCAAGACACATGTAACATTGAATAAAACATGATGTTTATAATATTTAAAGGGCCCATATCATGGAAAACTGAATTTCCTTCACTTAAAAAAAAAAGACTTTGATATAATATGTAAACAATTGTTTCAAAACATACCACTCACTCCAAGGTCAATACAATCCATATAATGAAACTATGCTGCAAGAAACAGCCTGTTTGAGTTCAGTGTTTTTGCGATGTCACAAGATTAAAAAATTTCACACATATCTGCTTATTTGGCCCCACCCATTCACGGTGAAGTTATAAAGAGTGTTTCGGCCTGGGCTGCTTTTTAAGTTAGGTACAATACAGGGAATCAGAACAGTTATTACATATATATATATATATATATATATATATATATATATATATATATATATATCTTTCTTTATATATCTGTCTATGTTTAGCTGTAAGAGATAAAGAGAGGTTAGAGACAACCTCTGGTTGGATGTAAAAATGAATTATGAGCAAGAGTAATAAGTGGACCTTGGGAGAAAATGTACGATATCGGCCCTTTAAATCTATATAGTTTAAGTTACTTCACAAAAAAGAACAAAATCAACATAACAGGTAATTCCAACCTTTGTACTGTAGTGTGTGTAACAGTCAAAAGCATTCTCTAACACACTGGTGGCTTCTGGGTGAGATGTCGTAATTACACTGGTATATGCGTATCTCAGTTTACATCAAAGAGCAGAGCTGTGTGTCACACATATATCATGGAAATTAACCTTGTGTTTATGGAAACAATAAGGTCCAGCTCTGAAGAGTAACACACTATTCTCCTCATTGTATAAACTCCGTCACAGCAGGGGAGACAAACAGTAGCCGGTGCAGCCGGCCGAGTTCTCATGCTGCCAAATACAACAGCAGCGATACAAACTATTCTACATGAATGTTGGCCTCGGCATCACAAACATTACAGCCACATGAATAATACAACAGCACATCCAGAATAGCTGCTAGCTAGGAGGCTTGGGCGATAAAAATATAATGATAATTGAAATCAAACACTTTTTCAAGATTGATAACATGTTTGAGGTATTTTCACAATAATGATTATGCAGTTCTCTTCCTTAATTTGGCCTTCAACGGCTATTTTGAGACACAAGTTGCTAGATAAGGAATAGGAAGATGTCAAGCCAATTAGCTATATAGCTATTTTCCAACTGTTAAGATTTTGTTAAGTTTTGAACAAGTTTCATGTTTTATGTAATGGCCCAGTGCAAATACAATGTTTTTAAAATGTACATATGTTTTTAATATTTTTATTTATGTTCATGTTAATATCTTGCTTATAAATAATTTTGAATATTACACTGGAATAATCATTATTTTTCTACAGGATTCTTAAAATGCATGCATGTACTAAATATTGACAAAATATTTCTTAAAATAAAGCGATGATGATCTATTTAATAATATGATAAAACATTACATGTATCATGTATTATATATCATACATTATATCATGATTTTTTCACGCCATATCGCCCAGACCTAGCACCTAGGGTTCAAAAGAGTGGATTCCTATATGGCACACATGGTGGTCATGTGATTACCAACCGGGACGCCCAGGGTGGGGCTGTGGCGAGGTTACTTGTGCGTGCGCACGAGAACGCTGAAGAGGCTGTCCTCCTGCGCTAACAGGTTAGCAGCGCTGTCACACTCGACCAGAATCCCAGAGGAAAACACCAGCACCTGCTCCGCCTCCAGGATGGAGGAGACCAGATGCTGTGCCACAGAAAGAGAGAGAGAGAATGACAGAGAAACAGGAGGGAAGAGGGGACAGGAGAGAAAACAGACAGAGACATACAAGAAGAAAGAGTGAGACAGAGAAGGAAAAGTGGATAAGGACAGTGAAAATGGGAGTGGAGAAATGTGAAGAAAGTAAAAAGATTAAGACTTGCAATAGGCCCAGTGCTTAGTAAAAGGACAGTATTTTCATACTGTCTCTCCAAGTGGACTTCCTTATAGAGAACTACAAAAATGTTTGTAAGAATCATCTTACTGACTATTGGAGAGACGGCACTTCACCAATCCAAATTTGCATCTCTCACGCTGTTACAATTGACTACGATGAAATGCAGAATAGTCCTAATCTCTATCAGCCACGTTTGCAGTACATGGTTAATGTACACTCCCTCTAAAACCTGTCCCCACCTTTGCAAAACCATACTGTTAGTTGGAAATGTTTTCCCTTGCAAGAGGTAATGTTTATTCTTATTGCAGGTAATGTGCTCTCTGCACATGCAACACACATCTGCATGCTTAACTGGATTGGTAACTTAAGGCACATTGATGGGCTAACGATAAACTTGTTTGGCCGATGTTAACAAAGGCCCACCACTTTAAAGCTCTGCTTTCAAGAAGCATTAAACTGGTTTAGAAATTTTACACTCAGTTTATTCCCACCCTAATAAGTCTGTGTTTCCACCACCCACATTTAGCCAAAGGTTTTCTCATGGTTGTCCCCAGAAGTTCTTGTAACAAGATAACGACTGGCCCCGTGAGACTAACTGATTGCATACAACAGATGTGGCTAGTCCTGTGCTGCTAATAGAGTCCTCTCATTTGAGTAGCCATGTGAATAATAACCATGGTAAATGGTTAAACTGGGCTGGGGGGGAGGGGTCCTTTATCTTTTCGTCCAGTAATTTTGTGACAGCCCCTTACACTGAAGGTGACGAGGCAGCACAGACAGTGAAAACGTGTGAATTGATCTTTTATCTTTGTCAAATAAAAGAACATAATAAAATCACGGTTCAGTAAAAGCTGTGGTTGTCATTTTTAATTTGGCTATAAAACTGTAATTAATCTAGTAAGAAAGAACAAAATTGCTAATGTCACACAAACATTTTTCTTTGAGTTTGTGGTCACTTAGCCTGGTGCCTTCTTCTCTGAAGCCATTTTGGCTAAGACAGTTTGAAAAGGCCAATTTCTCCTTGTGTACGAGATCCAAGATATGATTTTTTTAACCTGATTCTAAGCCATAGAGTCATTTTTTGATGTGTGAAACATGATGCTGTAGTGTGAGGTCGTCGTAAAATGCACACTTTGATATAGGCGGCTTTCAGCATGTTCACTACGTTCAGTTACGTTCATGTGTGGAAATACTGTAATTAATACTGTAATAGTGTCTTACTGTGTTTTTGCTTAAAGTAAATCAACAGATTAATTTTAAAAATATGTTTTTAACGTCACTGGGGCACAAGCCTAGATAAGCCAGATAAAGGACAGATTGAAAAACACTGGAGTATTTATTTAAATAACATTAATTATCATCATTAACTATATAATCATATATTATACAGTATACCATTAATCACATCCTCATAATATGAAGCTGCTCAAGGCAAGTAAACAGACAAGTGGAAAGCAGAAGACTGCAGCAATGGTACTTTAAGCAAGAGACAGAAAGAGAATCTTGAAGCCTGGCAAGACTTGCAAATGCCTTACACCATTTTAAGAGTCGTTCTGGATTTGGGTCCTAAGATTTTCATTACTAACTTTCCCACAGTGCAGAGTTGAGTAACTTATGGTGTTTAATATAAGGCAAACTCACTGCGATGGTAACAACAGTGCGGTCAGCAAACGCTGTCATCACCACCTTCTGCAAAATGTTCTCCTGTGAAGACAAATGTACAAAGAGAATCAGCAACCGGTACTTTAAATTGTGATGGCTCCATGTAAACCATTTGATGAAGAACACTCAGTAACACCGCATGTGAAATTCAAGGTCCAAAAAAGCCTGCGCTCTGAAGCCAGACGGGATAAATCTATGCTCCACTCAAGTGACCCTATTAAATGTTATGAGGGAAATGGAGTTCAATGTCAGTCTGAATTTGCAGGTTTGGCTCTGGGACAGTGGAAAAAAACAAAGAGAGCAGAGACGGCTTTTACCGTGGCCATGTCGATGGAAGCCGTGGCTTCGTCCATGATGAGGATGCTGCTCTTGCGGACAAAGGCTCGGGCGAGGCAGAAGAGCTGACGCTGACCCACGCTGAAGTTCTCCCCTCCCTCTGTAATTACAGCATCTATGGGGGATGAGGGGATGGGATGTTGGGTGGTGGGTAATGGGAGGGGGTAATCATAAATAAGACATTCCAGCTGTCTAAGCATAGCTAAGGTCACTGCATATATTCCTATGCTGATAATAGAGATAAAAAGCCTATTCTTAGTCTAAAATAGCATTCCTCAATCCCCAATGCCCTTCAGAAACCAAATGACCCATTTACCCTTACAAACCACCACCACCACAACAGTAGCATCATATGAGTAGAAGCATTATAATTCAGTAAATACAGGGGCTTTAATGTTAAATCAAGCTTCACTGCCGTACCCAGTCCTCCTGGAAGTGCTTTGACCATATTCTTCAGCTGTGCAATTTCCAGAGCCTCCCAAAGCCTGTCGTCAGAGCAGGTGCGCTCCGGGTCGAGGTTAAACCTGGGAGGGACAGAAGAGGAGACTTAGACATTCGTGCACATGCAGACGCAAGAACAGAAATACACACGAACGCTTTATCTAAACATGCTGACAGGAGAAAAAAGGCAGTTTGCATCTAGTGCATCTACAATGCTTGAAAGAAGCACAATACATGACCATAAGAGGCAAAGGGAACGAGCCTGGCTTTACTCCACTGACTTTCAAGTTCTTTCAGTTCCACTGGGGAAAACTCTTCCTACCACAATAGCTTTCCTTATCAGTGCACTGCATTTCCCACTGAATGCAAAAAGCCTGTCATGCTGTCCTGGGCTTTGGTTCTCTGTGTCTCTGAGCCACTAGGCCTTTGCTATAATAGCACAGATCCTCCAGGGACCAACAAGCTAGTAGCCCTGCTTCATGTAAACCATCACAGTGGCAACAGCCTGCCCTTAACCCCCCCACTACTGCAGCGATGGTGACAAGCTTTCATTTGCCCTTGTTTCTAAACAAGCTTTCCAATTTCTGCAACAAACTACCCAGAGGAACACTTTATTCCTCAAATGTTGCTCTTTGATGGCTCAGGAGACTTAATGGTGATTCTCTTTAAATTCCTTAGGTAAACTAGCACTAGTTAGAAAGGAAACATGAAAAACTGGAGACATAAAAGAGAGATTAGTGTTTAGCTGCATATAAACATGAACATTATTATTTTGGCAAATGAGCACAATGTGTGACTTTATGAAATGTCGTGTAAAACGTAAGAGCAGACACATGAGACTACTAAGCTCTTTACCGAAAAGTTATTAAATGATAAAGTCCTGTAACACTATATTACATCTATTTACATGCCTCAAGATTTGATGACCATTTTTCAAACATTCTGGTTCATTTTATTCTGGTTAATTTCATTATAACTTTATTCTCAATGCTACACAGTGTTCTCAGCTTTATAGAGCCATCTGGTTCATTCTGGATGCACTTAACATTTCCTCATTTTCACAGCTCCCTACAAATTAGTTAACAACTACAAAGTTGTACAGCATCATATTACAATCAATTTATACACGTACCTGCAACAAAATCTATTTTTATATTATTGTAAACATTAATTCCAAACTTTTGAATGGTAGTGTAGGGTTGCCTTTATGACACTGGTAATCATGAATCATGCTTTTAAGAGGTTCTTTATGTGGTTTCCTAAAAATAAGAGTCTTTTAGTATTTATTCTACACATCCTTTGGACATTTTCTCATTAAGTGATGAGGAAGTGGGTGTTTATTATCATTGGCCTTGTCTGTTTGGGTTAAAATTGATCCTTAGCTTTCTCCTTCAGAGAGAGAGAGAGAGAGAGAGAGAGAGAAAGAGAGAGAGAGAAAGAGAGAGACAGAGAGAGTATGCGTGTGTGTGTTTGTGAATACCGGATGGAGCCACTGAACAGGACTGGATCTTGAAGAATGATGGACAGACGGGACCTCAGGGTTTGCAGGGGCAATTTGCAAATATCAATGCCGTCAATGATGATCTTTCCTGAATGGGAAAAAATTAAATAATTAGCACAAGGTTCAACCTGCACCATTTTTTTTCAGTCTGCAAAAAGGCATGTTAATCCTACTTCTTAAAGCAATACATTCAGTATCAGGCTGTGTGTACTCACATATGAACAGATTAAGTCCGAATGAATCATTAAAAAAATCACAATTTATGTACAAATTTCATGTGGAAGGAATAGGTTCAGTTAGAAGATTAATGCAGTGAGGCAACAACACTGAATAACAATGAATATCAATGTATTTAAAGGGTTAACAATGAACAATAACTGAATGAAACGATAAAACATCCGCAAAGAAAACAATTTGTCCATAATCATAACCAGCAGAATCTTAAAGGCAAAAACTAATCCTTGATCATAACTCTGCTTTTGTAAAGCCCAACATTTGCCCTGGAAAGCAAAGAGTTCCAATGTTAAACCATTCAAGCTTCTCACTTTAGCTTTATATGGACAAACTGCAAGTATGTGTTTACCCATTCCCAAGTTTAAGAGATTTTACTGAGCACAAGTCATGTTCAGAAAATGATTGTTTGTATTGTTGAGTTTGGCCACATTGTAAGGCTCAGCTCACTGACCTGGTGGAAAAAACATGAGTTATCTACAGCTGAATGCAGTTTAACGATGCCAGGACGCAATCAAATGATAACTGACGTGTAATTGCATGATTAATTCTACCCATTAAGATAATACATAACATGTACCACATAGTAATTCTTTAAAAATGTCATTTTCTTTGTTCTTTTTTGCTCTGTTGCTTTTAGTCCAAGCTATCTGAGTGTCTGTTCCTAAAGTGCAGCTGTGTCATCAAAAAAAGAAAAAACTAAAAGGGTGTATGACACGGTCTGGAGGTAATGCTGAGAATGACTTTAATTCTCGAAAAGACTTGACCAAAGTGCTGGTGCACTCTAAAAGCTAATGCCTTCACATGACATCACCGTCGCTTGTCAAAGTGACAGGAACCATAAGCAGTGCAGCATAAACAAAGGAAGCAAAAGACTAGCTGCAAAGTTTCTGGAGTTGGGCACGGAGTGTTCTCTATCTGCGAGATTCTCTGAAACAAGTAACGACAGTTTTAACAAAAAGCAATCAAATAAACAAAACACAATCCTTCTTTCATTTTAGGACCAGTTTGTTTCAAAAGTCTGGTCAAAGCAGTCAGTGTCGGCTCCTCCAGGGCTGAAAGCATGGGGAAAGGACAGGTGCTGCTGCCCGCAAATCTTCTCCACTTAAAGAGAGAGTTATGTCATATTAAAAATGACAGCGCACTTATATTCCCTTCCGAAGATCACTCTATTGTAAGCATCAGCTGTGGCAGACACTGGTGAAGATGTAAGAGGAAAATTTACCTTCAAACACATCCACCATGTTGAAGAAAGCCAGAGACAGCGAGGACTTTCCACTGCCTGTTCTACCACAAATGCCCACCTGGGGGAAGAAAGAGAGAGAAAAGTAGAACCTCTGAAGACTGTTAGATGTACATTTAGCCTGTAAAAATATCCTCTTTGTTTAGATTTATGATGATGCTGCAAATGGGTAAAAAAGCAACGAAATTGTTTCAGTGAACCTAAAGGTAAAAAATATGTTAAAAAGTAATAATATATTTGCATGAAGTTCATGAATGCTCTCAGATGTTCAGTCTCAGTGTGCCTCAGGTAGAGTCAGTAGGCAGCACTTGTGAAGAGAAGAGAACATTTGGATGTGAAAGACGTGAGAAAATAAACACTGCTGTGACAAAACCGCCAGCTGGGTGACACTGAGGAGCCTGTCTGTGGCCCATCAGCAGGAACTGCTGTGATTTGAACTGAATGTGGTGTTTGTTCTCTTTGTTTGAATGTTTGACCAGTGCCACAACAACATGGATCTCTGTCCATGAGAGTGATGGATTGTCCACATTTGTTTGAAAAAAACACAATGTGAGTGTTTTAACCAAAGTAGGATTTGTGCATTAAGTTCTACAGGCATTTATACCAAGGTTTTGCCTTCAGTCTGATTAAACCTACCTTCTGTCCAGGGTTGATGAAGGCGTTAACGTGTTTCAGAACAGGTTTTAGCATGGGGTCGTATCTCACACACAGGTCCTGGATTTTAATCTCACCATGCTGAGGCCAGTCCTCTGGAACCTGGGACACATCTAGAGCCAAAACACAAGAACCCAATGAGAAGACTAACATTTCGACCTGAATGCAATTCCAGCACTCCTAATTCAGCTGTCATTTCTCATTCTCATTTCTTGGTTATATTTTCTGCTTCTCAGAATCCAAATGATCCAAACGACAAATTTAGACTCACCAGTATATAAAACCAAATCTCCACATTTTAGATGTCCAGTTTCTATATTCTAGTGCAAATTTTCCTTTTCTCAGTAAGAGCTACACATCCTTTCAGACCTAGAGTTGTTCTTCTCACAGTGGAAGGATGAACAGAAACTCCTGTGGATTTTTCAGATCTGAAGCAAGAGTGGAGCTTAATTTTCTCTCAAAGATGAAAGCTTTAAGTACTGTTTATCTGATGGTGACAGTGTTGGTGGCCTACCAGGTCTTGCACGGTTGTTAGGAGTCCCATTTTCTGTGTGTCTTTTAATCATTTTTAGAACTAAAGTCTTATTTTACTTATTTTTCCCTTAGTGTTTTCCTTTTTTATTCAAGGTTATTAATCTTTAGAAATATCTCCTGTTCCTGAAAAATGAATAATTTATACTTAATGGTAGTTTTCACAGGAAATTAATTACGTGAACAGTGATTTCTGACTTTTGCACAATACTGTATATTATATTTTGCATGAGATTACATACCGTCATATCCATATATATGCTATATTGTATCATGTGTTGTATATCTCTGTTGAGCTGTGTTGCTTTCTACTGCAATGAGAACAATTATTTTGCTGTGGGCAAAAACAGCATAATAATTGGGTTTGGCTTGTCTTAGTAAAGTGTTAACAATTTAACCCCTTAACATTCCAGGCTTATTACATACTAAGGCTAATTATGCACTAACTACAGGGACTTTAATGCAAACTAATGGAGCTTTTCTAAGGTTATAGAAGTGTGTAATAAAACTTTGGGCATGCCGGCAGGCCCATGCCTCGGTAGGGGTTGAACTGCAAGGGTCTGCATGTGGGTCCACATTTTCATCACATGTTCATCACTCTCATAATTATACAGCTTACACATGTTTTATAGTAGTTACAGAATAATTAGTCTTAAAATTAATAACTAAATGATAACCTTGCAGTTTATTTAAAGGGTTAAAAACAAAGCAGTCTCTTAGAAAGGCTACATTTTAGAACTATAGACTAATAGACAGTTTTAACCAATGGCAATGTAACTCTAGACGAATGGAAAAAAAAACACTTTCCAGCCTAGCCAAAGACCTAAGTGCAGTCTAAGACCACTTTATCTGAGTAGAGTGCAGAGATAAGACCTTTAAGAAGTGTTTAGACTACTAACTTGAACAGCCAAGTGTTCAGTAAGGTTTGTAATAAAAAGCAAAGTGTTGCCTCAGAAATAACCATCTGTGTGTTGTACTCACTGTCTTCTAGACTAAAGCCATCTCAGTCTCAACAATTGCTCTTGTGAGCCAAAGCGCTTTGACTGCAGGCAACAAAGGAGTATGAATCACCATGGTGGAGAGGAAAAATACAACAGATGACAAGCAAAGTGCTTTTTACGACCTGCAATCATCACGACTATCTAACATTGGGTCCGGATTCCAGAGTTTAGTCTCTTTCTATCAGGAATGATTTCTTTCCATTGCGTCATTGAGGAGGGAAGGCCTTTCTTTGGCAGTGGGGAGTCTCTGCGCTATCACCAAAGTTTCAGCGATGCTCTTGCTGCAGCGTCTCCCTCTCTCTTCTCTCCTCCTCTTCCTCCTCATCCTCCCCTCTCAGTCCTCCAAACCTCCCCAGAGACGAGTGTTTACATTCACAAACGAGTCTGCGTCTCCTATCACTCTGCTGTGGAAACTGTGTACGCAAAACTGGCAATTCCCTGATTGGGAATGTGAGCGGTGTCACGCACTCCCACATGCGGACAGTAGGACAGGAAACAGAGAACTTGGAGATTTCTGTGGTTGGGGTCAGCCTACTCTGTCCCAGACCACCAAAAACAATTCGCACACTAGAATGACAAGTCACAAACTGGGCCAGGTCAGATGGATTAAACTTCTCAGATTAAGCAATCTGTTCTAGGATTTCTCTTTCACACCCCACTGTATATGGCTGTGGGGAATGGTTAATTACACTGAGACATCCGATATGAGGGCAGATATTTATATGCTGAAAAAGCTTGTGCGTTTAATTGACCTGATTCAAATGTGTACATCATTTACACACCTAGTGTTACAAGTTACAGTGACTGTTCCTTCGTTCAAATACAACTTTTAAATGGTACCTACCACCGATGGCTCGCTTGATGAATCCGAAGTTAGCTATAACAAAAATTGTCTGCTTTATAAATAAAACAAATATTTCCATAAGGCCAAATTTGAGTCCATCTATGACAATATAAGACAAATGTTATTAATTACAATTAGCTACACTAAACAGTGCGATTAATCATGATTTATTATTTTAATCATTTGACAGCCCCATTGAAAACATTTGAATCAAGATTCAATGCATCTATTTTCAGTACTATTGCGGTTCATCAAGTTCTCTATATTCTTTAAATTTCACCATCTGATCACTGTAATTAGAACTAGACAGAATACGTTACCTATGGAACCCTCATAGTTCTCCGACTCTGTGGTCAGGAAGCTGTTGACCTTCTTAACTGCAGCCATCTGAACTTCCAAATCTGCCAGGTTCCTCACCACCCAGTTCAAATAATTAGTCACCTGCTCAACAACACACATATGCATACATACAAAAGAACTGGAAAAAGCTTTAAACTGGGCCTTTAGTGAAAGATTTAAATGACATTAGATTTAAAGTTGCACTAGCATAACAGTAATACATCAATCTATGTACAATGTATAGTTATGTAATAAGTCATTAATAAAATTGCAGAGATTAATTTGGAGTACAACACTTTAATATGTTAATGTGTTGGGCATAATCCAGAAACCAATATATAATAATATAATATAGTGGATAATTCTAGCACAGTATTACAGAAGTTCAGCATGGGCTGAATTTTCTTTGATTTTTTCCAATAAAAGAGCTTGATGTAGTATGTAAACAATGTTAAAGGCTCAAAAAGTAACACTGATCTCTCCCCCAGTCCATTCAGCACATATATGGAAACTAACCAGCAAAAACAGCTGTTTGAATTCAGCAGGGTTGTGATATCACAGAGTCATTGTAGCAGAAGATTTAGTACTCTTCCTGGTTTTTGTGAGGCAAATTTTACTATCTGAAAGAAGTGGCTGACGTCCCTAAGAATCCTGGTCCATACTTAACAGTTATTTGAATGAGGCATAATACAGAGTAGCCAATCACCGCAAAGGTAATTTACATATATGAGTCTTAAAGGCACAGTAACAAAATCAGCTTGCTTTATTATAAAAGAATAAAGAGAGTCTGGAGTTTGATCATGTAAAAATCAATTATGAATGCTTCAGTCCATAACAAGACACAAACGTCATGAGCAGTTCTACGTTACGGCCCCTTTAAAAATGACCTGAGAGTTATTGTTACGTAAAGAGAGAAAAATGTTTTTCACTCACAGTGAGGGCGTATGTTAGGCCCAGGCCAACCAGACCGGACGAGAGCCCATGGTAAGAGCAGATGGCAGCCACAGCAGCCGTAAGTACAATCACAGCACCCAGGTAATCCTGAAAAAGAAATCCATCAGTTAATTTAGCTATATTACTAATATCCCTATTGCTGATCAACCATTCACATTTAAAAAATCACGGGGCAGTGGATCATTCCCCCTATTGGTAATGCATTAGCTACATTTCTCAGTAACCACAGGTCAAGTTGGACGGCCTTGCAGTTGGCTCGAGTAGCTGTACTTACTGTTCTGACCTCCAGCCACCGGTTGGCAGCGGAGAGGAAGAGGTACGCTGTGTTGTTGGTATCAGTCAGTTCCAGCATTCGCTGCTTGAAGCGAGCCTCGTGCCTGAGGGAAGAGCCGTTAGCCACATGAAATGGAACGATTAGCTACGTGACACATCACCACAGCTCATAACTCTGACCACACAAGAGCGGAGGAAGATGAGAGTGACTTTCATTCAGTTTGTATGTGGAGTCTTAGTTTTTAACACTCTAAACATTGTGAGATGACAAGCTGTTTAATACTGGATTACAGTTAGTTTGGAAGAAGATAAACAGGCAGAAGATGTTTATTGGAGTTGGATTAGTACAGTTCCATAAGGCATGGCTAGACGGTTTGTGATATGCCCCATAAGGGGTTTTGTATCATAACATGAACTTCTTGATGCTGCTGATACAGTTTCACACCAGAATCCTCTTAAGAACTTTTAATGCATCTACTTTTTAATCTAAAAAATAATACCAGAAGAAGAACCTCCTTATCACTAACCTGAAAGCTCGAATGGTAGTGAGGCCTTCTGCGGTCTCTGAGAAATGGCAGAGCAAAGGGAGCTGAGTGGAGTCGTCAAGGTCTTGCAAATCTCTGAGAGAGAAGAGAGAAAGAGAGAAAGAGACATAGAGAAACATTGTAAAACACAGCTTTGCAGTTGGTTCATTTGAACTATTATTTTGCTTTGCTTTATTTTATTCAAATATTTTTACAAAACAAACAGACAGACTGGCTGAGCTTTCTCAAAGATGTTGTGAAATACTGTGTCATAGATGGGGACTTGAGTTAGTGACTCGGGTGTTGCCTGACATGCTACGTTCACATTACAAGCCTCATTGCTCACATTCGATTTTTTGCTCAGATCCGATCTCACTATAAAATGATGGTGATTCAAATGTGTCATTAATGTAAAAGAACAAGTGTGTGTGCATCATGCGCACCATTAACAGCAAACAAACTAGCCAGCAGAACAAGCCTTCATCGCAAAGATAATGATCTCTGACCAGCTCCCGGCTGCTCATTATAACAGTGAAACAAAAGTGAAAAAGAGATGCATTGCTTTTTGCACCTGAATGACTGAATGATGGCGCATGCACAGTAAAAAAGAAAACATAAATTCCGATCTGAGCAATCTGGCCACAAATCGGATACATATGAAAGTGGTTCAGATCTGATTTGAAAATGTCAGATTTGTGTGTCCACACAGTTCTGAAAACAACAGATCTGAGTCACATGACAGCAACAAACCGTATCTGTGCCACCCCAGCCTGGTTATGTGAGCGTAACTTTTTTGTTTCAAACAATACATTGCCAAGGTTTCACAAAATGTATTTAAAGGCTGACAGTGTTGACAAAAATTGTATTGTTTATTGATTTTGCCAGATGTGAGTTTTTGGTCATGTTTATGCAAATTAAAAGTAAAGTTAAAAATATACAGCGCAAAACAGTGTGAATAAATATGTTCATTTATTTTGATTTCATTTTAGTTAATCTTTTACTTAATTAAAAAAATGCATGCATGGTAAAATTAAATGTAAATTATTCATATGTAAATTTATAATAAATAGCTGGCTACTGTGTTGCAGTTGTTTTGTTAAAATACATAAAATCACTGTAAAAATATAACATGTTACTATAAGTTACAGCAGAATATGGCTACATCAAAGTTATCTTGTGGACCAGGTGACTGTAAGGTATTCACTGGTACACTGGTATATGTTAAAATGTTTTTGCTTTTTGTATTTTAGTTTTAAAAAGTATGTTTTAAGACTGAACTAATAAAAATCACAAACATTTTTACAGTGGAGACATGGTGTGAAATACAAGCACAGGAGCACTTTCCAGATCAGAACTCACTTGGAGGCGACGCGGAAATACTTCTGGATGAAATAGAAGGCCACAGCGAGGGGCACCAGTGCAGCGACGAAGACTGGTGTGACAAAAGTGATGATGCCAATGGCTGAGAGACAGAGGAGAGTGGAGCGAGTGAGAGACTCCAGCGTTGGAGGAATGTGCTGGAAGGAGGGAGGGGGTAACAGAACGAGAGCGCCAGAGAGTGACAGAGAGAGAGAGAGAGAGAGAGAGAGAGAGAGAGAAAGAGAGAGAGAGAGAGACACAGAGAGAGAGGGAGCAAGAAAGAAATATTAGCATGATGATGTTGGATTTCTGATGTCAGAGCATACTGACGTTCATCTGCTCTCTCTGAGCTTCAGTCTGTAGTGGTGTCTCTGTGTGAGAGCACAAGCCTCATTTCTCAGCAGAGCTTAAATGACTTTGAAACAACACAAAGAGAAAACATCACAGAGCTGCTTTCTTACCTGATCAATAATGTTGGTGTCTGCAGAGAAGCGGTTGAGGATTTGACCGAGTGGGGTGACGTCAAAGAATCTGACATTGGTGGATACAAAAAAGACAAAATGAGTATCATTTATTAATAAGAACCATACTAATTCTACTGTGTTTATCAGAACTCAGTATATGGATAATTCTACCAAACTGGTTCAAAGTCAGAGTTGAAAACTCGTTTCAGACTTTTAACTGACTTGGACTTTAACTGAACTCATTTAACTAAACTTTACTTTTATATTTACCGTAGAAATGAACAAGAAGTTAACAAGAAGTTAAGCATAAGCCTTTAGAACAAGTTTTTAAGATTATGAAAAACATACAGTCAATAAGGTGTGCTTACCTTTGACTGATACTGTAGGTATATACAGTAGTGCACAAATGTAAACATGTCTTTTATATCATTTATCTTGTCAACATTTGTGTTGTTGCTTGTAAAATCACTATATATCAAGAATTTTTTTTTTTCAAAAAAAATGTTGATACCTTATAGGTTAGAACAATATTTCTCTTCAAAGTCTTTAGCATGCAATGCATTTATTAAATTCCATCACAGGCACAACTGATTTAATTTAATGATGAACTGATTAGCTGAGCCAGGTATTGGACGGTAACTACAAATAATACTGGGCTGCCATGAGGAGAGATCTGAAAATGGTTTAACAAATACATTGACATTGATGTATTATTTTGCATCAGCTTACTTTATTAATGTCCAGATTTTTAAATCAAAATTTCTCAGGTTCCTAAACATTGTGCAAAGTACTGTCATTATTACAGATTTGTCAGATTATATAAGACCTAAAGCAGAACACTAACCCTAATCAGAGGCTGAGAGACTCTACATCATGTGTGTGTGCGAGTGTAAATACCTAAGAGGAGCATGGATGATCTTGTTGAGTAAGTTATGGTGCAGGTTAGTGGCCGCAGAAAGGCCCAGAAACTCTACGCTCAGAGAAGTGATGAGACACAGGAATATACCTGCTCCACAGAGGATAATGAAGACCGGCACGTAGGATCGATGCTGTGGAACAAACAAAACCACACACACAAAAACATTCAAATGCACTGTACTATAGATCGACTTCACAAATATTTATGACCAAACAAAATAACAAATATTTGTCCAGCTACACAAATCCCTCAACAGACAACAGCATTCATCACCTCATCGTTCCTCATAGTCTCATTCTGCGTGTAGTTGGTGGTGTTAGCATCCAGGCTGAAGGAGCTGTTGGGTTCATTTGGAGCTGAGGAGGTCCAGTCTGCCAGCCAGTAGTCAATGGCCACCATGACAGAGTGCTTGGCCAGCTTGGAGGTGACCATCAAGAAGACCAATAAAAATCCTCCAGAGGACAAGTAACACCAACACACCTTCCACGGGATCTTAGAACGCCGGCTGGTGGTGGTGGACATGTTATCATCCTCGTCCTCCTCCTCTTCTTCCTCTGTTAAATATCATTAGATAGAAGAACTGTTTATGAAGGAAAAAAAGTGTCTACTTAGACTGCACAATATATCACCTGTTTCGTTATTGTCATTTTGGCTTTTGCAATATGAATATCGTAGAAGGCTGCAACATGTGATTCCAAATGAGCAATCACTATATGCTGGAACTAGGGCTGTCAAACAATAAAATAATTCATTGCAATTTATCTCAGTATTTTTTGAATAATCACATTTGTCTTACTTGTTCATATTTGACCCTAAATTCCATTTAAAAAGCAGTGCATTTTGATAAAGCTTGACAAGAGGACTAAATAAGCTTTATCAGAATGTATTATAATAATTCACCATGTGAATACTGGGTTCCATAAAGTACTCCTTCGTTCAGCTTGTGGATTCTGATTATAGTGGAGGCTCTCGAGTATTGGTAGCTTTCCATTTTGCTTCTGCTACTTTTGTTAGTGTGCTGCTCATTAACTGATCCCTAGTTCTCACACAAGCACTGTCAAGCAAAGTCTGATGAAGGTGCTGAAGATATCACTTTAAAAGCCATTTAGCTTTAACAAAAGAGCAGCGCGTAATTTTGTCATAGCAACATACTGAGTGCGAGCAGCTGGGCTTCAGTCTGCACTACTATGGGTGGTTTAAAGAGCAAAACTGGGACAAGCATGACAGTTCCTTTAGGGACACGACTCTGTGGAGAATAGCACTTTCCTCATTTAATACTCTGAATTCACAATTTACAAATGTCTTTTTTTACGTGTGTAATGAGGCAGAATGCTGAAGTCTGCACTGCTTTGGACAGGAGCCTGACGTGAACTGGGAAAATGCATTAATAGCATCAAAATAATAAGTAGCGTTGATAAATTCTTTCTCAATGCGTTATTAATATGTTAACCTTGACAGCCCTAATGGTAACAATCACAATTCAAAGCTTGTCGAAATTAAGCATCACTAGAGTCTACTTGCAAGATCAAGTACAGCAAACAATTACCTTCATCTTCATCATCTATTTGGTTCTTGGCTTCTCTGGAATAGAAAGCTCTTCTGAGGGTCTTCCTCTCAAGAGTAGTCTGACTCTCAATGTCTGTGTCCTAAAATGAACAACACTCATGTCACATCTCACAGCAATGAGCAGCAAACACAAAACTGAAAATGATTTGTAAACAGATCAGTATTGGAGTTCCGAATTCACAATGAAAAAAGTGTTACTCAGTATTTATCGCTGCAATAACTATCCATCGTCTGGACGTTCACTTGGACTGCAGTGAAATAAGGCTGCTGTTGATTGGGGGACAGCTAAAGTGGATGTGTGGGATGTGGTGAAGAGCGCTGACCTTCTCCAGCTCCTGGTCTTGTCTGTTCATCAACGTCTTCCAGTGTTCATACAGCTCCACATCATGAGTCTGGATGTCCTTAAGTGTTCCTTCTCTCAACACAGAGCCATCCTTCATAGCTATAATCTGAGAGGCAGAAAATGGAGAGGCACTCCATCCACTAATCGATCGAGTAAATAAGTGTTGTTAAAAACAGTGAAGTGCACTTGCTAACATGGTGGTGACTAAATGGATCTACTTAATATAATTTAGGACATGTTTAAGCCAAATGCTCTCATGTTTTATACGGTTGATAAACTGAAGTTACACCAAACAAAGTTGACTAGCCAAGGCGTGTTGTTCAAAGTTTGTTTCTTTAGTAATGCACTGGAGCTACTAGGCTAATGCAACTAACAAGTAAGGGAAGCTCACAGCCACTAGAAGCTCATAGCATTTACCAAAACCACACTTCCCTCAAACCATGTTGAGCAATCTCCAGTAGATGTGCTTGTGTAGTTTCTGACACTGTATGACATACTGTTATAAAAATATGTCTTAGCTGATTGACTACATTTAGGATATTATTCTTTTAAGATGGTGAAGTGGATGTTCTCCTAGTGTCAGCACATTACACAGTACGTAGAGAACACTACACACATTTTAAACAGCCGTATGCAAAAGCTTGAACACTCTACAAACAAACTTAAATGTTACAAGCATTTTACTGCAAATCTGAGTTTAAACATGGAAAAAAATGAAACACATACAAAATATAAAATGTGGTGTAATTTTTGCACAGGCTACATTTTATGTTTTATTTTTTCCCAATATGTTAAACTCTGCAAATAAACAGTAATCGTGCATTAAAATGTGCAGAAGTGTGTTCTCTGTAGAGGAAGTGTTCACGTGTTCTCACTTCAAAAATCAAGAAAAACAAAAACAACAAAATCAACAAAAATAACTTAAACATTTGACCAGGGGCGCCCAAACTTTTACATAAAAACACGTTTGTGCTACTGATACTGACCCAGTCAGCGTGAATAAGGTACTGCAGTTTGTGGGTGACCAGAACCACGGTCCGTTTATCATCCTGTAGGAACTTCAGAATGCCCTCCTGCATCAGGTGGTCACTTAGATGGATGTCCAGAGCAGAGAAGGGGTCATCCTAAAGGTGGATAACACAAACAAACAAAAACATCAGCAAGTGGTAAGGGATAGGTTTCCTTTAGAATCAATCTTGTGAAGGGACTCATTAATGATTTAAAGACACCTGTGGAAAAAAAAACAGAAGAGGAACTTAACATCAATCAACTCAGTGTTATTCCAGGCTGCTGAAGAAAAGCTGATTATTTTGGCGAGAGCTTTTAAATCCCATCCCCAGTGGATTTCAGACTCAGCATCAGGTCTCAGGAGAAGCTTTAGTAATGTTTCCTAACAGGCGTGCATTCGTGTGTAGCTGTTAACAATAACAACTCTTTTGGAGGGGAGAAGTATCCTTGAACATGTAATTTTACATCATCCGAGATGCGTTATCTGGGCGTAAACTCAGAGATCAAATTAACAGACTGCGGTCATCTGTGGGTGGACTGGAGGGACAGAAGAAGAGGAGACTATCCCTTTATTCATCCATCTAACTGTCCATCTTTCCTCTTATTCTATCACTCTGTTGGCACGGTTGTCACTTGACAACTCCTATTTGTAGTATTTTTCACATTTTCCTAATACAGTTTTATTAAATTCCTCACCAGGAAAACGATGTTGGTGTTCTGGTAGAGAGCTCTGGCCACACAGATCCTCTGTCTCTGGCCACCACTAAGATTTATTCCCTGAAACATATCACATACAGACACACACTTCACTAATTAAATCTGTCAGTATCCATTCTTTATGACTGATATGGTGGTCTTTCCTTGATATTCATTAATAGCCCATTATCTGTTTAGCAGTGTTGTGGCAGCTGAGGCCCTGATCTCATGTGTAGTGAGATAAATGGAACAGTGAACTAAAGTGGACTAAAGCCATCTTCGTCATTCCTGTGTCTTACTCTTTCTCCAATTTCTGTCTGGTCTCCGAAAGGAAGAAGGTCAATGTCTGGCTGCAGAGAGCAAGCGTCAATCACAGCCTTGTATCTGTAGGAACATGGCAGAAAAATGGCAGCAAAAAATAATCAAACCGGCGATATAAAATATAGGATATAAAATGAAGGTAGAATCTTAGTTTTGTTGCTTTTTAAATTAATTTTAAATGAATTATTTTTAAAATAATTTTTGGAACCTTCTGGAAGGATTAAATGCTTTGGATGTCTCGTTCCTATCACCACCACTGTGAACAATTCAGCTCTGTAAGTTGGTCTAGAACTTGTCAAACCATTTTGTTTTACGTTTTAACTATTTAATTATGCAGACTTTTTGAGAAAATACCTTTTAAAATAACAATTTTGTATTTTTTTACATTTTATTTAGTAACTACAAGAAATTATCCAGTAATACTATGAAGTATCTACTATGAAACTAATATGCAAATTATGAGTTATGAGAGTGACGAACTGAAATTTCGGCCCACATACATATCCCTGAGAGTTTAAAGGGTTAATGTTCCTCTGAAATGGATGGATGGCCCTCCATAAAGAGGTCTCCCTCACCTCTGCTTGTTAAAAGGGCTCCCAAATGTGATGTTGTCCTCTACTGTAGCATTCAGCAGCCATGACTTCTGAGCTGCATAGGCCACAGAGTACCTGTTTTTACTGAGAGAGAAAAAGAGATGAAACTAAAGTGAGAGATGGCTTTATTATAAAGTAATGGAGACCACAACACACCAAGCGGTCAATAAATGAACAAAAAAATGTAGGGAGTCGCATTACTGATTACCATGCATCCAGCGTGGAAACCATAGAATGTTCCAGACAATCAGGTTGAAACAATGAGAGTATGGACTGTTGGGACAGCACTTTGAATTCTGTAGACTGGAGTTTATTCCAGTTTAGAGTATTCCAGTGCTTCGAAGAAATAGCTGGGATTTACCGAAGTAACAATGGTTTTCTGCACTACACTTAGCATTGAGTTACTGTTTTGTAATAATAGCCAGGTAAACCATGTTAAAGAGAACAGGTTTACAGTCTTCTACAGACTTTTTTTACAGCTGCTTTAACACAAACTGACAATTTCCACACTAAAGAAGTCCAAGCATGAAGCTCAAATTTCCAACATTATACCATTCAATTACCTTTGAATAAAAAAACAAAATATAATGTATTGAAAACAATGTCTGATTTTGAAGTTTTTACATATTTTTAAAGAGGGCATTTAACCAAACAAACATGCTCAAGCCACTGTAAAACTGTAATAAAGCCATTAAAACTTTAATAATACCAAAAGATTTAAAGAAATCCTTCAGTATTCTAAACACTTTTGTTGTAATAATATCAAAGTAACCGTCAATCAGTCAGACTAATCCTGAAACCTGCCGGACTCGCAATTCTACATTTAAAACACTGATTTGGTGAGTTCTGCATCAAAGACTCCCAACATTTTATGAACACTAGCACACATCTCACATTACAATGGGAAAAGCTGGGGGAGGGAGATTAGGCTGAGAGCATTAACAGATCCAAAAAGAAGAGAACTCCATAGAGAATAAAGGGATGAAAGAATGGATAGATGAATGAATGAATGGATGGGCAGATGGAGGGATGGATAGAAGGAGGGATGGAAAGATGAATAAATGGATGAACAGATGAACCACTGCACTTCTGTTGTAGAAGTCTGCAAATAAATACCTCCGTTCTTCGTGGGAAAAATCAGAGTCATACTCGCTGTCGACAGGGGTCAAAACATCATTTTGTCATGTCAAAACATCAAGTCATGTATAGAACAGGGACATTAAATATTAGAAGACCATATTCACAAAAACTCATGCACTCTTGTTGGAACAGCCTCCACTTGTTTTTTTCTTGGCATATTCATGCTCCCAAATATGTTGTTTCATGACCACTGTTGCTAGGTTGGACAAGTTTAACAGAACACTTTAGCACACAATATATCTACATTTAGAGTATGTCATTCACATCAAACAATACCTATTGTGTATGCATGTGAAAGATCACACTGTGAGGATATTCTTTTTGTGTAATCAAGGTTTTTGGGATAAACATCTGATAAACATCAGCATAAAATTCAATGAGTTCAGGTATTGTAATATTGCTACACTTTAAAAAATGGTAAATGGCAAATTAACAGGTTATTTTACCTCAAATAAGTACTTTGAATGAAACATAATGATAAGTCATACAACGATAAACCAGTTACTAAATTAAGTTGAATAAGGTTTGGCCAATGTTCTGTAAACCTTGTCCAACTTCACGAAAGTAGCTATGAAAGAATGATTTGTTGGCGAAGCTTTCTCACTTAACTGGCTGTTCTAATGACAAAGGTATAAATGCCCACAAGCACAAGCCACAACTACATTCAAAGCACTTCAAATTAACAAGAATAATACAGTTCTGTGGTGATGGCTGTAATAGGATTGTGTTGTGTGCATGTGCACGTGTGTGTGTAAACACCCTTTATGAAATACCTTAAATAGTCGGGGAACATCTCACTATCAGGAAGTCTGATTGAGCGTAGTGTAGGAGGAGGACACACACAGAGAGAGACAGAACACACACGTGACCAGGGTTAGTTCACAGCCCACTGGGACACAGATCACTCTGCAAGGACACTGACACACTCTCCTCTTCACTCGGTTACTAAATGACCTCAATGATTCTCTAGCTTTGGCTGGAGAGTGCTGTCACTGTCCTGAGAGAAGAAAAAACTTTCATAGATTAGCATTCAGTGCAGTGTTTGCAAGGACAGCACAGCCCGATAAAACAAAGACACCACAACATAATTTGCATCAAAGTACGATTCTATTCACACAGCTAACAAGCTACTGCCTCCTAACATATCTTCAAGCCCCAACCAGGAACTGCAGAAAATAGCACTAGGACTATTACAAGAACAACTCTAACAAGGGGGCTTGGTATATACTTGAATTTACTTGATTTACTTGACTTCCACATGAATAAAATACAGTACAGTGCAAAAGTCAAAGACCACCTTTTTGTTTATTAAATTTTTAGTCAAAGCATTCATTAAGTAAAAGTTATTAATTTTTCAATCTATCTATCTATCTGTCTGTCTGTGCCCATCCTTTGCCTTTATTACAGCTTCCATTCTTTTGAGGCTTGCTTTTAGTTTTTTGAAGAAAGTTCAGCCTTAGAAGTTCGTTGCATTTTCTTCTTTCAAATTTAGACTCATCAGTCCATAAAACTTTACTCCACATTTCAGATGTTCAGTTTTTTGTTCTAGTGCAAATGTTCTTCTTTTTGGTCTATTTCCTTTTCTCAGTATTTGGCAGTTGCACATCCTTTCAGACTCATAGTGTTGAGTTGGTTTGAACTCCACTTTTGGAAACTACTGCCTTTCACATATTTTCTTTTGACTTTCCCCTTCCTTATTTAAATGGATTATTTTATATTTAATCCCCTCACAAACATCTCCTTTAGCCATTTTTGCCCTTCTGCATTTAGTAAGCTGGACATGAGAAAGAAATCTTCAAGGTGTGTTTGTGTAGTTGCTTGTGTGAATGTCAGTGTCCTTTGAAGGGGAACACAATATCAGTGGTTTCCTTTGGGAGCAGCTTTTGTTAGGAGGATGCAGATATAACTCATAGGTTTTGAGACTGGAAAGATAAAAGAGTTAAGGAGGGGTGCATAAAAGTAAAAAGGGGACAAATTCAATAATGACAGATCTGATGATATACTTGATGATATAAAGTTGGAGGCTTTTGTGTAAAATATGTATTCTGCTTTTTTCTAACACTGTAAAATAAATAACTTGTACTTAACGGCCATTTTGTCTGGAAGTTGAATAAACGAAAGAGTGAACTCAACTGAGACAAAACTGTGAAGTAACATACACCGGTAATTTTATTAGACACAACTTGTTGGTGCTTCTTGTAAATGTAAAGTTAGAGATGACATATCTTCTTTTTCCATGCTCAGTCTGTGTTAGTCATTGTATAGTGTTTCATCAATAACCAGTGTTTGATGACAGGATGACTGCTGGCTGGATATTTTTGGTTGGCAGACTACTCTCAGACCAGCAGAGACAGTACCTGCTACGCCTGATACACTTGCATCAGCACAACACACGCGCCTGTATCACTGCTGTGCTGAGAATGATCTTCCACCCAGATGACATCTGGTCAACAGTGGTCCTATGGTGGTCTTTTCGCCTTAAGGGGCAGGGTAGGCTAATAAATTGTGCATCAACAGATGGGCTACAGTCAGCAAATGTAACTTACAAATCGTACCTATATGGTAGGTGATAAGTCCTGATAAGTTCCTGATAAGTCAATGCAATGTAAGTAAATTGAATGCCTAATGTCAATGATTTTTTTTTACTGGAGTTCTTGTACCAGCTCTAGCTTGTGCTGCATCAGCTCCAGCATTTCCTGATTGGAGCTTTGGAGCACTCCTAAAAAAACTCCACAAAAGCAGAGAGAACATTTCTCAATTATCTACCAAGCATTTCACAAATAAATGATCAAAGTGAGTAATTTAAGTTTAATTACAAAAAATGTAAAATGTAAGCACAAGGAGACTGGGAAACTTTTCTAAATTTTGTGTGACACTGTTGAACTTGGCAAATGCTAATCAGAGACCATCTCCAGTGTGGACTGAAAGATGGAGACATGAGCATTTCCACATTCTTACCAGTGACAGGAGACAAAAGAGAACGCTGATAGCGTTAGTGGTGATAAACAGTGAACAAGACGGAATGGTTAGATTGGGCTGAACAAGAGCAATCAAGTTAGGCTGCTTGCTTAGAAAACAGCACATGCAAAACTACAAAGACATGTACATGCACATATGCAGAAAAATGCATGCATGCACTGACAAAAGCAAAAACACTTACTATCCCAAAGTGATAGTCTTCATCAGCACAATGGGCAAGATGGAGCACACACACACACACACTCGCACATACACACAAGCACACGCTTCAGTATGTACACAGTGGTACATACAACGCATAAATGGTAAGGCAACATAGTTGTTGCCACAGATAACAACTTTGATTAGCATTAGATTTATCAATAGACAAACTCCTAGTCTGCTGTGGTTAAAAAACATCCTTAAAACTTAAGTTCTCTTACTTGCTCCAGTAGACTTTTCCACTGTGTGTCTGCATCTCTCCCAGCATGGCTAGCAACAACGAGGACTTCCCACAACCAACCTGACCCACGATCATGGTCAGCTGACCTGCGGAAAGCAAAAGCATTCCAATTTTAATGTTATGAGGCAACACACTGTCATGGCAAAAAAAGCCACATGTTCCTTATTTATGACTAAAATCATCTGTACAGTCAGTAACAGGAAGGCTAAATGAGAGCACTTTAGGTCACCAGCATTGAGCTAAGGCTTGCTTGTTGTCTGTATTTGACTGCAGACATTTTCTTTACAGGAATTTGGAGCATCTCAAGCAGCTGTCACAATGAACATCCAAAACAAACTCAATTTCTCATTTTTATAACAGAGCTGGGTGTCACTGAACCCACCTCATCAATAGCACAGCTTATATGGATATATAATACAACACCAATCATTTACTGCCAATAAAAAGTCAATAAAATGCTCTAGTGGTCCTCTTTTATTCGCCAATATGGAAACGGCAGAAGCAAACAGCTGATGTCATCTGTAATGCTAATGTTACAGGAAAATGTAAAGTTGGTAAAGTGCAGTGTTTAATATTGCTGGCCTGCAGGTGCAATGCTGCTATTTGATTCCCTGGCTGGGGAAGCACACCACGCTAGCAGATTCACCCAATACACCAGTTGGATGAGTTTAACGAGTAGCCAAGTCCAGTATGTTTCATGCATGTTTCAAATGAAAATAAAGAAGCTGCAATCTCTTGATCACCTCCTGCCGTCTAATCTGTTTCATCTGAAGTAGCCCACTTTGTTTTTGAGGCAGATAAGAAACATTAGGAATGGCTGGACTTTCGGGGTCAGCCTTAGCCTAACATGGACACCAAACCGACTGCTGTGCTTCCTCTTGTATAGTTTTTGACAGCCCCCAGAGCTAACATTAGAAAACAATATTGAAATAGGTTTATCGTGTTGTTCAGTTTAACTTTTACTATTTCGCACAATAAATACATTTCATATTTACTTTGGTTGTTAAAAATGGTTCTTATTAAAACTGAGTTTATGTTATTACAAATGGAACTGTTAACCTTCAAAAATACTTTCTGCTTAAGCATCTAATATATATATAAAAATGTATGTAATGTATGTAAATCTATAGATAGATATATATATATACCTTCGCCTACCTCTGTAACCAGTACTGAATAAACTGTAAGTCTGCCAAATGCCAAAATGTAGCAGAAAAACATTATTAACTGTTAATGTACCATGATTTTATTCAAGTAACTTTTGACTATGTTTTACTGCATTTTCATAAAATGTTTACCCAATGTGGATGTAGCTACAAACAAAACGCATAAAACAGTTATAAGGTTTTGAATTGACTGTAATGAAATGCAACCATAATGCAACAAAAAAAGAGCATGTGAATGAGCACAACAGAAGAAAAATGCATCTACTACAAATTACATCAAGTTTAGTACAGTGCTTTGTATTTTGGAAATGATACGATACAGAACAGTTTGCAATGTGCCAGGCCATGAGAAAGAATAATAAATAAGTCAAGGGGGACCTGATGGGGTGGAGCGCTGGGGCTGTTAGGGAAAGAAAACCCTTCTTACAACCAGAGCAAAAGACAAAATTCTTTAGGGGAATCCATACTCAGCACGAGAGACAGTCTCCCTCTGGCCAACAAGAATCTAAAGACCCGCTTCAGAAACAGGCTGCTATGGTTAACACACATTATCAGCCAGTACAAACTGTTCAAACCAACAGTAGTATAAACCCAGAGCTGACCTGCAGGTTATATTCAGAAGACTTTCCCCAGGCACAAACAGGATTGTACAGAGCTGGCCAAAAAGGAGCTGTGTTTAGTAAAATAGCTGGGATGTTTTTAAAGACAATAGCATGAGGGTCACGGCCCTAAAATGAAGTAGCGAGCCAGAGAGAAACACATCACACTGCTGGCAGACACAAACCCTCCAGTTATCTCACAACATGGGTCAAATTACCTGTGGGGATGCGGATGTTGATGTCCGACAATGTCGACATGTTGCTCCCCCATGTGAAGTAAGCATTGTTCACCTGAAGTGCAAACAAGAAATATGAGCTGACTTTCACAGATAATCCTTACGTTTCATAAGTTTATTACTGCTTCCTTCAAAGTATACAAACTTATTACTGTTGTTTTGCTATTCAGCTATTTTAGTTACTGTGCAATTATGTTAAATTACATTTACATCCAATTTACATACAAGACATTTAATCAAATTTGTATCACAATTCAACATGTGTGGTACTGATTTATAGTTCAGAATGACTTTCCACAAAATTTCTTTACGTTACTCAATGAGCTACAAGTGAGAGATAACTAAACAAAGCATATATGCCATGGAGAACTTTAGAAGTTTAACCATAAAAGAGCACCACAGCACAATTTAACCCAAACGGATTTCATCTCCATCCACGTGAACCAACTCGGTTGGTCCGGCTCACGTCTTGTAGGATGGTTATTCCCTCTCTGGGACCGAATGTTTATTTATGACAACGATAACGCTCCGATCCATCACAGAGGCGAGCGAGGGCCAGATCTGCGCTAGGCTAAAGAGTTCACTGGGAAAAGGGCAAAGTGAACAATCAAAAGCAGCTGGGAGCGCTGCTCAAAAACAGGGAGGAAAAGAGGAAGAGAGAGAGACGGGAGAGTTTGAGAATAGAGGAGTGTAAATGTCAGGGCAGATTAAAAGTGTAATCATAACCAAGCGAGCGGATGTGACATGGCTGAGTGTGGGAGAGTGACGAGCGCTCACGAGTTTCTTCTGTGCATTTGCTGCTGTTGGGTTCATTAGTTAGAAGGCTAGCACTGTCCGCTGGGAGGGTTAAAGGAAGTGGACCCTACAGGGACCCGGGGCCAGAAAAACAACAAAATAAAACAAACCATAAAACAAATGACCATCCAATTTCAGCAGCGTTTTTTTTCTTTTTTTGGTCTTCTCATGAGAATCATAGACAACTTTCTTGCCGTGGTTATAAAGAGAGCAGAACCAAAACCAATTTCAACTAAACAGCTCTAGTATTGTAGGACAAGGTTCCTTAGAAATTATTAATTAAAGTTATTGTTTCACTATTTAAATGCAATTACTAGGACTGTCAAATGGAAGACGTCCTCCTGAGATTTACTGATAGTACTGGTATCAGTCAGTCAGCGCTGTGTTTTGCTTACTTAAGACTCAATATCCTCCAGTGATAAACAAATTCACCATTGCAGTAGCTGGAAATAAATTTGGTTTTATCAAGAGAATCAACAGTAGAACTTCATGCCATTTAAAAGCTGTCTTTGAATGAGAGGTCCACACTGTTAATGCAGTACAATGCAATAACAATGTCAAAAAATTTTGTAGCATTAATTATTTATGTTAACTCTTTGTAATCTCCTCTTCCACAAACACAAATATGGCAATGATTGAAGGTTTAGAATGTGCAGTTAAAAAATAATTTTCCCACTTGTTTCAATGAGCTACAAGTTCAAAATAATTAATATTCCTTCAAACAATGCTTTTGTTACCACTGCCAATAACTGACTTCTTAAGGAAACGTGTCAACTTGGGTAACACCTTACTGTGTCATATGTATATGTGAGTGTGAATGTCCTCAACCACTGAACAAGCAAAGGAACCCGCCGGATATGACACGTACGTCTGTCAAAGGTTAAAAGCAATTGGGATGAGAACAAGCAGACCCTTTTCATTCAGTGGCAGGACGTGCTCTGTGTAAACGTGTGTGTGTGTGTGTGTGTGAAGGGCCTGAGAATCAGAGTGATGGGGCTGTGCGGAGGCCGGTGCCCTCTGACCTTCACAGCTACGTCCTCAGTCTCGGTGGGGCGCAGCTGCCGGCGCAGGGGCTGCTCATAGTTATCCATCTGATAGCGTAGTGGCTGCTTCCTATTTCTCTGCACAGACACAACCAGAGAGAGAGAGAGACAGAGTGAGAGAGAGAGAATCTGAGAGGTCTGCTCAATAAGATAATAATGATAATTATCAAAATCAAAAACCCTATTCGATATCGAAGTTGACTTGAAATATGAACAACTGCAGCTTCCATACAATAGACAGCAATGTGCACCCTTTTTTCAGAATGGAATTATTGGATGGCCTGCCCGCCTGTCTACCTGCCTACCTCAAGACCTGCCCAAATGCATGAGCATGTTCACATGTGCATGTGCAGAGTATGTCATTTGGCTCTACACATACACACACACAGACACACACACACACAGACAGCTGAAAGGTAGTGAGCTAGGTTCACAAGAACAGCAGAGAAAGATACACAGGTACCTACAACAACTTGCACTGCTGAAGAAAGAAAGAAAAGACAAAAGTAAAAAAGGTTTTAAACAAAAGAGGCTGGATAAAGCAAGAGGTCAAACTAGAGTGAGTCACTGTCAGTTTTGGCATCATTGTGGCTTTCTAATGGTGGCGAAACCTGAGAAAGTTGAAAGGCCTGGAAAGCAACGCCAAAGTTGCTATTTTTCTGTTGGACAGGTAATTATCTGATTTGTTTTGTTTATGGGGGAATTTGTAATTTTCCTGAATTATGTAGCCAGTGTAGCTAGCTACTTATGTTGCTACCTTGTCCAATATGTATTAGTCCAATGCTAATATTAGCTGACCTGTAGGTGTAAAGCAGCTAGCTATGTTTATCTTGTGTGTAATCTGTGTGTATATGTTCGTAGGCTGTGTGTGTGCATGTGTTTTTGGGGACTGTCTACGGAAAAAACAGCTGAAAGTAGAGGGTGGGATTTTTTCGGTTGGATTTTTTCAAAACTAGCTTACACCTTCTGGTTTCTACAAAATCACCTACTTCATCTTTTAACTTAGCTAGACAGAGATGTAGAAAAAGTCTAGCTATTCACTTACAACAGCCCAAACCTAGCAGGGAATCGGATGTAATGTAGAGCAACCAGAATACAAATTTTGATTCAGGTTTCAAAATACATATTTGAAATTAAGCATTAGGACTGGCATATAATAATAATTATCAACATTAAAACATGGAAAAATATACTGATATGATTTTTGCATCATCACACAGCCCTATGATCTGATGTGAAAAAGTTGTTGGAACTGTAGAAAGCTTGATTTCATGAAGTCATAAGAAATTTTACGACCTGCTCTTAGCCCTAGCCTTTACGATTAGCTTTCCATAAGAGCCGAGTACACTGAAAAAAAAGTTGCTGAATTTAAGTGTGTACATTGGTTCCACACAAATGAAATCTGGTACATCAACTAAAATTACGTAAGTTAATTTAAGTACTTACACATAGTAATAGTATCTCAGCATCCTAATTACTTAAGATTAGATTAGGACCCTAAGAGTTTTTCATCCACACACATCTGCATTTATACTACTACTCCTCTTCCTCTTTTTTCTTTGTCTTCCCCCTTCACTCTGGCCCCCTCTCCTCCTCTGAGAGAGGGCATGTGACAGAATTTCCTCTCTCAGGGAACAGCTGAGGACATGCTATCCACACTGGGGTCTGGAGGCACTCCTCTTTAGCACGTTTATGGATTCTTACTCAGCTCAAGAATCACACCCTCAAACACACCCTGATACAATCTCCGCTTACAGCCTGGATCAGTGCACCTACAGACGGGTCAACACTTTCTGGACGCCTGAGACGTCATGTTTGAAATTAAAGCTAACAAAAGTAGCCCATGCTAAGTTGGACCTAAGCCCACTGCACAGTTCAAGACACTGGACAAAATCTGACATTTTTGCAGTGTTCAGAACAATTGTTGTGAACAGGATTTAGCCTTTGCTTCAGATTGTACAAATCAAGTTAAAATATCTCTATTTACTTGAAATTGAAATTGAAATGACTTCTTTAAATCAATAAACATTTCCTTTAAACTGTTCCAAATAACCTTGTTTTTTCAAACGTGAAAATAAATATTTTGGGTGTATCAAAAAAATCATTCACTAAGGGGTGTAACGGTACACTATATGTCCAAAAGACTGTTCTCTGGAGTGATGGAGTTCCATCAAATAGCCTTCAGACGAGTTGGAGTTGGGTTTGTGATCCAGAACTAATCATCAAACATCAGGACCTGACCTCACCAATGCTCTTGTGGCTGAATGCAATCAAATCCTCACAGCAATATTCCATTATCTAGTAAAGCCTTCTCAGAAGAGTAGAGGCTGATACTGCAGGAAAGAGGTAACAAACTCTGTATTACCCTATATATCCTTGATTTCAGAAGAAGCTTTGGATGAGCAGGTGCTAACTTCTGAATAAAAACTTTATTAGTATAGTGATGCAATTTTGTTGATCTATAACCGGCCATCTTTAGTCAAAGCCAAATCAAAGACACAATCCATTAAAATATCAATCATTTAACAGATAGTTCTGGTTCTGAAAACCTGAATGGCTGAGCCACATCGGCAGCATGTATGTGAGCGACAAATCAGCTAAATTCTGTACTAATGCACCAAAATATTAAAAAGTGTTCCTTGTATAGACCATGGAACATGGTACTGACAGGTGATATAAGTCAGATATAAGCATGTATATGTAAACAGCCCCAAAACCATGTTAAACATACCCAATGCAAGAACCTGACTTTGTTTAAATGAAAGGCAACTATCTTCATGATTATATGATTAAAAATCAAAACAAAATTACTTGAATATATAATATGTTGGGCTAATGAAAGTTCTATGCTCTAAGGTTATACTGACCATTCATTACTAGCCCAAGTTAAAACGAACAGAAATGCCATGACAGCTAAATTCATAATTTTGTGTGATTTTCTCACAACGCCATATATTAAACTTGCTCTCAGAGAAATAGTTGTCTGTTTTATCCCTTGCAAATGCTTGCGTTTGATATGGAACATTAGCTAGTGGTTCTGAACACCACTATGAAAAGTGGTCTCAAATATCACTAATTTCAGCTGTGGTTAATTTTTTGTAGGCCTGTCTAGTGGAACCAATTGCCTATTGCACCTTCATGCATACTGTTCAATGTTCCTCAATAAAAAACTTCCTGAAAATAGACATCCCTGTCAAATAGGAACTTAAATTAAGAACTTAACCTTTTTTTAAGCAATCAAATCGATCAAACAATTATTTCTTCACAATTAATCATTTACATCCCTAAGTGATACAGTTTTAAATTGGATACAATGTTTTGAACATTCATTTTTTCAGTTTTTTAGTACTGTATTGAAATTGTCATACCCTTGCTAAGAACAAAAAGATTGAAAACATACAATGTCAACAGTCATTTGCTTATATTAGCCTTGCAAAGACAAAAGATATGAGAAACAAAGATATGAGACATTACATCTGTATTGTAACATCCAATACTGAGACATAACGTATGTATTTATTATATGAATAGACCATGACCCATTATAAAGTGATTAACCTGCAGCTGACATTTCACTGATAGCAGACATGTAATTCATATTATAAAAAGTGTAAGAAGCAGTGTGTTTGGGTAATCTGTGCCGGGATATGATTAAGAGAGTAGAATGTGTGTGTGTGTGTGTGTGTGTGTGTGTGTGTGTGTGTGTGTGTGTGTGTGTGTACTTACAGCCCCTGGGTGTTTCTTGTAGGACTCCAGAGACACAGGCATGTCTCCATTTCTCCAGCTGTCATCGCCAATCTCTTCGCTCTGCAGGAACTCTCCAAGCTTCTGAACACTTCAAGGAACACGTCAAAGACCATTAATGAGTAATATTACTGTATATCTCACTCACACACACTGACTTAAACTCATATTCATAAAATCAAGTAAAGTATAGGTGCGCACAAGGTGGGTTCACCTGTGTTGCGGCATACATCAGCTATCTTTTAGACATTTTGTGGAGTAATTCGCCAACAATATAATATTGTGACAAATAAAACATAACATAAAAAAATAAAAAACATAAGAGATATAAAGGAATGAAGCGAAGCCAAGCTTCTTGGCTGTGTTACTGTACTTGGCTATTGACAGTGCTGTCATGGGATGCAATGTTCACTGGTGCCAAAATATTTACTTCAATTTTCCAACATTAAAAAGTTTATTTTTATGGCTGGGTGCATGGTCGTATGATGGGCCCAGAGCTTGTTCTGCCATATCGCGGTGGGTTGCATGGGCACGCTCTAAAGCCTAAGCAGCGCAGACGAAGACCACACACCAAAGTAGGCAGTTGTGTGTGTGCATGACGTGGGGTTGAAGCGTCTGGGTCCTGGCAGGAATGACGCTAGATTTTGCGGCCGCAGGAGAACATGATATGAGTTAAAGCGGGTGGGTGCGGGCATTAATATTCAAGCCCATGTAGACCTCTAAGTAAAGACAGATATTTGATCTCAGTCCATACTCATGCTGATGTGATTACCTGACCAGAGCCTTGACTGCGAATCTGACCACAGTGGACAGCAGGAAGAGCGGAGTGACCAGGATGTGAAAGAGAGCCAGGGAGGCAAATGCCTCGGCTGGGCTCAGCCTGGACTGGCTAATGTATGCGTGAGTAACAAACGTCTAAAAAGAAATGTATTCAATTTAGGGCATTAAAGTGATTTATGTACAGATATGAGAACAGATATGAGAACCATTATGGCTGTCTTACCGCTAACACAGCAGCAATGGGGATGGCAGCATTCATAAATACTACAGAGAGAAACAAGGAAAAATGTGTTTTCTGCTGATGACAATGTTTCCAAAGCATGGCATTAGGTCAGACCCATTACAGGGATGACAGTTCCAATCAGCACAAGACATTTTGGGCCTGCTTACTGGACATGGAGGTGTAGAAGGCAAAGGTCCTGAGGCTGGTCAGCTCTTTGCCCCTGGTTTCAAGCACACTGTCACAGAAGATGTTCTCCCAGGCATACAGCTTCAGCAGCTTTATGCCTTTCAGGATCTCTGTGGTCTTTTTCAGGCGATCTGTCGAGTAGTCCTAACAGAGGCAGAATTGAGATCAGTGTGATTCTGTATGAATCATAAAGCAAGTTCCACTGCCTGGGTGTAAAAATAATAGAAATCCAATATGTTTGACTAGAACATGTGGATTAAGCTACAGATGAAAAAGCAAGAACCCTCTCCAAAGCACTGGACCACACAGACAAGAAGATTTACCAGCGTGCTTTTCTGTGTGTCAGCCAGTTTGGTGGCGATGAGGTACTGAAGCGGGGCCAGCAGCACGATGACCAATGCACCTATCAGAGCGCTGAACCCCAATAAATAATACAGCAGGATCACACCCATGATGATCTGAGGGGGGGATTAAAGAGCACATCATTATCAGACAATACAGTAAGAGACCTACATTCTCTGGAGTGATGGAGCTCCATGCAGTACCTTTGGAATGAGTTAGAGGGAGCAGATCTCACTAATGCTCTTGTGACTAAAAGCAATCAAATCCTCACAGCAATGTTCCAACATCTAGAGCCTTCTCAGAAAAGTAGAGGCTGTAGCTCTACTGAGCTCAGAATTAGTTTCAAACTATCTCTGTACTAAATCTGGTTGCACCACAAATCCATTAGTCATGGTCCGTAAGCCATTGCTACTTAACTGCAATTAACTAATGTGTACATCACTTTAACATGATGATAAGATGTTCAGAATCTATAAACGCACCACCATGGAAATGTGACAGCAGCTTGAGCTGTGTCACGCATCCGGCAAGTTCTCAGAAAGACACGGACTCCATCTCCCAGACTCCTCCGGGAGATCACATGACTGAGATACTTCCCTCAGACCCGGAGTCTGGCTCGGACTCCATTGCCCAGAATGCTTTGGGGAATCACATGACTTCTGACTCTCTCTCTCTCTCTCTCTCGCCCTTATCAGCGCTCACAGTCACCTGAATTCTAATGTGTATGACCTGTGTGTAGTCATATGACTCATAGTTTAGTTTATAAGTTAAGTCTAGTTGTGAGGTATTGTTTCTCTATAAACTACTGAGTGTTCATTCCTGTTGATGGAATCCTGTTTTTTTGTTTGACTATTTGCTTTGTTTTTTGACTCTGCCTTTTGTCTAATCCCTTCGTACTCATCTTTCGCCTTGCCCTTTTGTGTTTGTTTGCCTAGTGTTATGCTCATCATAACACTTCTGCTGTGTTTTCTGGATTTGACCCACTCCTGTTTTTTGATTACGTTTTTGGACTGTGATTCTGAAAGTAAAGCTGCTATTGTCCTTTTTATCCGTGAGCGTCTGGTTTCTGTTGATTCGTCACAAGCTGACTTTTTCCATGGAAAAAATATCTAGTATAGAAGAGAATGATGTGTACAAGAACTGAGTAAAACTGAATACTTGTAGCCACTGCCTGTTTATTCTTTAATATTTCCTTGCAACAACCATGTATGCAGCTCTCTCACTGAGCTGGAGATGTGGGTGTTGGCTTCATGTTAGGTGTTAAAATGGGACTATGAGTAGAGCTGTAAAATACAGCACATAGCATTTAATGTTTTTAGCTTAACTATCCAAAAATGTGATAGATTTTATTTTTAGTGCTTTCTATGTGGTTTCCATTGGTTTCCCCAACACTTACCCCTGCTTAGGGAAGGTGTGAATATTTAGAAGATATTAAGCTCAATGTAAAAACTAGCTTGTGTGGTGCAACTTATTTTGATTTATTAATGCATAAACCTGAATTTAGTAAACACTCATGTAACAGCTAGCCTATGTTTGAACTTACGTACAGCTGGTGCAACCAGCCCAAGATGTATTAGGATGTAGTTTTGTACCTGACTAAGGACACAAATAGATAAATTCTGCCAGAACAAGCATACGAGTTAAGGATGAAATTGTTGTACAAGCCTTTGTGCATGGAAAATGCAAAATGTGTTTCTCTCCCTCCCTCCCTGTATTTGAGGGAAGATTGCACAAAAACGGATGGAAATATTAAAATTGCAGCTGATTACATATTCTCTTTGATGTACCAGTGATTCAGTGGGCAGTTCTGTGTGGAACCTACTCCAGGTATAAATTAGCTGTAGTGTCTCCAAAGCATATAGTTGGGAGATTTCCTATAAAAATGGAAGCAGTCGTAGCAGCTAAATGAAGGCATGGCCCCCAAAGAAGTGCTGAAAAAAAATTATCAGTATAATAAATTATAACTCAGTTATGCAGACTCCCAGAGTTGACTTAGTGACTCCTACGACACGGATATACCCAGACCTAAAGTGTAGTTACAATTATAAAGTACAATTACACTCCTGCAAAATGTTCTGGTGGGCCTTTTTTAACACCACTATATCTTCATCAGTGAACTTGCACTTTCTCTTTTATTCTGAGCTTGTTGACGCCTCCACTATTTCACTGCACAGCTTGAGCCCTGTGCCTCACAAGTACAGCACAGAACAGGCAGTCTTATGTACAGCTTGAGTGATTAACTACAGCCTTTGTAAGCTAAACGTTAATTTCAGATGTCAGGCGAGCACTTACTGCGACTGCATCAACACACATTTTCTTCTTATGGGTCTCACACACACACATGTGGCCCTCAACATGACTCATCCTTACTAGTCCAAGAGAATTTCAGAAGGGTCTGTTGCTACAGTTTACAAAGTCACTGGCCTACAATAGACCTTTTAAATTAACATACTTCAGTTACCTGAACAGGCATTGCCCACAAATTTGGGCACAAGAAAAGGAACCACATCAGCTGGTTGGTCTCTATAGCAACCAGGTTGTTGATCTGGCCCAAAGTCATCTCTCCCATGGACATGTTAGAGGTGGACAGACGCAAGATTTTATTGTAGATCATCGCCTGGAAAAATACAACCGTAGGTGAACGTTATTTAAAGTAAGCAGAAACTAAACTGAAACTAAGCTGGCAGCATCTCCTAAAGAAAAACTCTCCAAATTAATTCTGTGCTCACAAAGTAAAGGCTTTATGTTAACTATGAGGAGACAAAACAAGGTTCAGTGCACTGAGTGATGCAGCATTCACTTATTCATTAATAGTTTGATATTGTTGTTGCAATCTTGCTGCCTGTAGTCTACTTACCAGCAGCGCTCCTCGTAGGTTGATGCCAGTTTCTATGGTTACATAGTAAGATGCCTGCAGGAAGGTGCGCTGGAGCACCAGAGCGAGGAAGAGAAGCACAGCCAGGACGTATGTGTTCTGCAGCAACTGCGTGGAGGACATGAAGTACACTCCGAAAGGCAGATCCTCTGTCTTACAGGGCCAACATATAAAATAAGCATTTATAGTAAAAAACACAAAAGACACAGATCTCCTTGGTCAAAAGGGTTGAACATCATTGACAAAGTTCATATTATACAAAAAGCTTTATATTTTCAGCTATTCATATTGTAAGGAAAAGAAAAATGATGCAAGTACCACTTTGACCTTGCTGTTTTAACAATATAGTCTTTAATGTGCAACCCCTGGGTCTGTCATTGTGCTGGCATAGTAACAAAGCCTCACTTAGGGAATTCACACTGTGCACATTTTTTGTCTAATTTTAATGTTTTTAAAAGGGACTTTTGAACTGAATCAGAATCATGACATAAACTAAATGCAATGTTTGATGTCTGAGACACTGCTTTTTTAACAGTCCATTTACAGTGGAAGGGTACTAGGCAAAACGGTCCCCAAGAAAACTTATTTTTTCAGATTTACCACGACTGTCAACATTACATATAAACGCTCAGAAGGCACGTGTAGGTTCACTGGTCATTTTGGATGGCAAATAAAATGACTATATTTGCAATGTCTCAACCATAGAATATCTCAACCATAGAATTATTTGTGGAATTCCACTTTAAGTGCAAAAAATGTACTGTGACAAACATTTCCATCACAGAACATCAATGTCACTGATGGCAATCTGATCGAAAGACTTCTTACATGGAAACACATACCACATTCCAACCATAAAAACACATTTGCACTGCTTTATCAGTACTGTTGCATCATTGGCACATTGTAGTGTGAGTATGAGAGAGTGTGAAGTGAGTGGGGAATTTTCCATGTCACACAAATATGTTAACCCTCCCAGCCCCACTGTCTCAACAGATAACAGACCACCACTCCAACCACTAAAATTACTCAATTAACTACAATACCCATTATGCAATTCTGTCTGCAGTCATAGTGATGTCATCTTTTCTGTCTGTGATCACAATCTCTATCAGTATCTCCAAACAGAGGGTTATTATTTCACCTAATAAACTTATTAGCATTTATCTTCCATCGCATGACATGATACATGATGGTAACCGTGGTGAGGAAAAAACATCGCGGCGGACGTGTGAGAAATGTTTATATACACAAGTCTAGACGTGTGGTATTGGCACTGTAGCCATGACTCTTGCTAACGGTGTGGATGTGATGTCAGAAGTGAATCAGGGCTGGATGATCGACTCCCACTGATAACATATCAGTCAATGAGCTCATACGTTTTGCTAGAACCCTGTCATAATTTGGGCGGACTTGACGTAGGAGGTGGGAAAGCAACAACAACTTGTCAAATACAGAAAAGATTTAGCTGATAGTGTTATTTAATTATGTAAAATCAATTTCAGCTAGCACAGTGGAATCAATGCATGGAGTGTGGAGTGCCTGTGGGCTCATATGGGCTTGGTTGTACGTCCTATTTTTAATGCTTTTTTCAGACATTGCAATGTATATAACACATTGTTTGAACACTTTTGTCTATTACTAGATATAAATATCAGTACAATGTATATATACAGCATGAATAACATACAACTGTGTACATTCCTCACTTCTGCAACTGAACTGTAATGACAAAAAAGAAGTGTCATCACACATTCATCGTAATGAAAAAGTACAGGACTGGAGTCCCCCTACTTTCCACCTTCTAATTTTCTCTCCCTTACTTGCCAACTTGGTCCTAATAGAAATATGGATGTCAAATGTGTGTCAAACATTTAGATTCTGGCTGATTTTGCTTAGTAAAAGTTTAGTTTTTAAATGTCAGTGTGTGGAATCAGTTCCTTGGAGTTTAACGTGAGGTGGCTGCATTGGACAATAACTCTAGACCGTGTCGAGCTCCAGTCTTGGTGGGCCAAAACACTGCAGATTCCAGCACGCTTCCTCATTAAACACACCTGATTCAGCTCATCATCTAATTAGCATGGCCTTCATGAACTGAATTCAGAGAGTTAGATAAGGGTAAACACTAATCTCCACAGCACTTTGGCCTGGAAGGTCCCCAGTTTGACATGCCTGCCCTAGACAGTGTATTCCACAAACATAGGTGAGTCCAGTATGGACTATTACTGCGATGATGCGGCATAGCATGTGCAAACAAGTCAAACCAACACACCTTGTTCATTCTGACGACTTCTGTCTTGTTCACCAGGTGTTCCACGATTCCCGAGATGCAGAGTGGCCCGGCAAAGCCCAGCAGGTCCGCCATGTAGCGGAAGGTGCTGCTGAGAAGGATGGGGCGACCAAAGGCTCGGTACATGGCCCTCCAAATGGACGGTGATTTTTCCAGATCTTCTGCATTCTGCTGTGGACCAACACACATACACAGCAACTAATAAAGAAATCAGCACTACTATGAGGTATGGATGGCTACAAGTTAGTCACATTCATTTTTAGGCATCTTTATTCATTGGCCATGTTATCAGGTGCACCCACCCTATAGGTGCACTCTGTAAGTTTACCTACTGCAGCTCATCTGTTGTGGCATCAGTCCCCCTCTACTCCAACCATCAATAGAAAAGGACCACCGCAGGACCACAGTTGACCAGATATTGTTTAAGTGGTAGACCGTTCTTAGCACAGCAATGACAGTGGTTACCATGGAATTGGCATGGTAGTATCTGGTCAGTGTCACTGCTATGAATTTCAGGTTACCGGTGATCCTCAGGTGGTCCTTTTCCATTGAGGGACAGGGTAGAGGTGGCCTGATAAATAGTGCAGCAAGAGATGGACAACAGTGCATAATGGTGGACCTTAGAGCTGGACAATATGACAACATTATATCACTATCGTGATGAATTTTGTTATTGTGATGAACAATATGCTTTTCTGAGTATATTGTGGATATTGTCAGTATTTAAAGAACGATGACCAACTGCATGTTTATTACAAAGAAAGAATAGTTATTCCAGTTTAACTGGATTTAGTGTATTGTAGTATGTAAAACACTGAATAAAAATGATTGTGTACATAGTTTTAATGGCAGTTTTTAAATGTGGTACTACTAGTGCATTGCCACTGCACTGCATCTAGAAGAATCATGATTTTTGCCATATTGCCCACCCCTAGTAAACATGTAAAGAGTTGATGATAATTGCTGTATAAATAACTGCGATTGACAATTTATCTTTTTTGTTTATTGTATGCAACTATCAAAGTAGAAGACTAAAGTGACTACCCTCTAAAGGTGCTATTAACAAACATCAAATAAACAAACATTACTCACCGCTGCCCTCCAACAGTGCCATTACGTGTCTCAATAAATGTGTTTTCTCTTTTATTTACACGTATTTGCATCAACCCAGGGAATGAAAATGTGCTTAATTCTGTTTCTTGTGACTATGATTGTGAAAGCTAACAACTGTGATAAGATGATTATGTAACAACTGTGACTGGCTTATAGTGTATATTTACAATCTTTCATTAAAAACAATAATAAATATAATATGATGGGATTTACAGCTAATATGTATGAAGAGCTGCCTCACAGACTGTGCTATTTGAATAAACAGCCAAACACTAATGTGGCTAAAATTACATGCAACATCACACTTAGTATTAGATCATGTCACCCATAAGTCTTCACAGTTTGCCACAATCAACAAACAATTTTGAGAAGTCACAGTGATCTCAAATCTACTGCCTCACCCTCTGCTCCTCGTAGGCATCTTTGAGTCTAAGGTAGTTGGTCAGAGCCCTCATGGCAATGGGCAGTTTACCAATCTTCTTTAGTTCAATGGGCCTCTTATGAGCACCGATGATGAGCGGGTTCATCCACCAGTACGTGGCCTTGGAGAGGAGGTTAACGAAAGGCTGGAGGAATCGCACCCCCAGATCCTGCAGATCCTCTGGGGGTTTCACTCGCTGAGGGCTGGCAAAGAACACATACTTCTGCGAGGGGAAAAGAGAGAAAACATGAAACTCAATGACCAAGTATACTAAAATGATTTATGGACACGAACTGCTTGGCTTATTTTAATTGCCATCATTTATCTTTGTATTTTGTATTTATTATCACAAGTTACACAACTAAATCAAGTAAAAGCAAGTCCAGTTTTACGGACTTGTTAAGTTTTATGGCAAGAGGCGTTATAAGAGCATTACAAATATTTAAATTGAGAAAAACACAAAAATCTTTGGAAAATCCAAGTTTTTCTCTCAGACATGGATTAGGGTTATTTTATAGTGTTTCAGTACATCAATCATTTAAACAAGCTTAACCTTGATATGTCAGAGCATATGCGTCAAACAAAATCTGTTTAATTGAAGTAATTCCACTGTATAGCCCATCTAAAATAAACTGTTACACATCCATTCCAAAGAAGTGTTTTTGCTTTATTTATAACTTTTGACAGTGACCCAGGAGGCACATACCCTGACTCTGATGACATTGACCTCAACAGCCATGAGCAGGCCATAAAGCACCACCAGGAGAGCAGTGATACAGAAACGCAGATGCTCCACACCTAAGCCTTCTTCAGCAAATTTCCACAGCTTGATGATTTTAGTGATGAATGCCAGCACCCAGTAGATGAACAGTGCTGCATGTCGAAGGAACAGACGGTAAACCTCATCAAAGACATTCACAAGCACCAGAATAAACTATATTTATAGTGTGATCCGGTGAGGACTGTAAGCAGTCTGAGAGCTTCCGCACTAATCATAAATCTGATATCTCTCAGCTACCTAATAGGTTACCTTAGGTAAACCCTACATGATCTATCATTGTTCACCTTCTATTTTCCTTTTTTTGTAATTTTTTACTTAAAATTTCCCCCAACATGTATCACATTGTTCATTACAGCCTGACAATAACCACAGTTCAATAAATGTAAGGTGACACTATGATGGAACTCCAAAAGACACTCTCTAGTAATTTCTGCCTCTTTATATGTTTCCTCTATTGATCATGAGTCACTGTGAGAGGTATACTAACATAAAACACTAGAATTTGGCTTCTAAAGTTCATTCATGTGTTCCCTGGAAGATGCCGCTTACCTAGAAGTAGTTTAGGGAAGTTTGCAGTTTCAATATTGTGGTAATACACTACTGATGTAGTAGCTGCTATGAAGCCCATAAATGCAGGCAGAAAAAGGTGCAAGTGATTTGACTTCATCCACCTGATAGAAAACATGAAAGCCCATATTAGGTACACACACACACCCACACACACACACACACAGTACAGTGGAACAGCACAAGTAATGCTATGGGCAAATTGTCCAGCAGATAAAAAGACTGTTACATTTGCAAAAGGAAGTCATACTAGTTGTGTGATCTGTTACTCATTGCATACAGTACTCTGCAAATGTCAGTGATTAAGTTAAATCAATTCATTTTCAATCAAAATGGCCATTATGTATAAGTTATTAATTTTTCAATAAATATTTCTGAGGAAATGGATATAACACAATCCATTTGCATAACAAAGGGGAAATAGATGAAGGTCAAAGGAAAATAAATAAAAAAGCAGGAGTTTCCAACACTGAAGTTTATAAAATCTTTAAAAGATATAAAGAAAATGGGACTTCTAACTACCATGCAAGATCTGATAGACCACCAAAACTACTCCCGCCATGTAAACATCATATAAACAGTACTTAAAGCTTTCATCTTTGAGAAATTTGAAGAAAATCAAGCTCTACTCTTGCTTCAGATCAGACAAAATCCACAGAAGCTGTCTATCCCTCTGCTGTGAGAAGACAACTCAACACTATGAGTCTGAATAGATGTCTAGCTGTCAAGAAGCCCTTACTGAGAAAAGACAAAAAAGGAGGAAAATTGGCAAAAACAAAGAAGCTGTTGCTGTTCCCTAAAATAATGGACAGAGTCCAGACATCAACTGTTGAATGTGCTTGGGATTACTTGGATCATGAGAAGCAGAAAATACAACCAACTTCTAAGACTGAATTAATTGAATGTGTTGAAAAACAAAAAATCAAGCTCATAATAACAATGGAAGCTGCAATAAAGGGAAAGTGTGGATACATTAAATACTGAAAAAATCATATGTTAAACACATTTCCTGCTTTCTTCCTGATGCTGAATAACTTGCACTTAATGCCATTTTGACAGGAAATGAAATAAATGGAGAGTGGAGAGTTTTACACAGTACTGTATATGTATGTTTGTGTGTGTGTGCATGTGGTAAAGCGTACGCGTTGGAGACGATTCCCTCTGCGATCTCGCACACATGCACAAATAGCAGAGTGAAGGTTAGGATCCAGCGCAGATTATGACCAGGGAAGTGCAGCCAGGTGTTGTGATGAATCTGCACCTTCGAGCTCTGACTGCCCCAACCTACAGACACACATACACAAACAGTTATTCTCTGACATTAAGTACCAGTCAAATGTTTCGAATTATACCTACTGTTATTTTACAAATAACAATGCCTTCTATATAGATTTTAAATACACCACATGGACACTCGACCATCACGCCTATATGACTTGTTGAACATCTCATTCCAAAACCATGGACATTAATTTGTCCTCCTTTGCGGCTATAACAGCCTCCACTCTTCTGGAAAAGCTTTCCAGAAAACTGGGAATTTGTGTCTATTCAGTCAAAAAAGCATTTGTGAGGCCAGACACTGATGTTTGACGAGAAGGCCTGACTCACAGTTGACGTTCCATCCCAAAGGTGGTCCATGTCTTTAGTCTGAAGTCTGAAAGCACATAACTGTCTAAAATGTGTTTGTATGCTGTAACATTAACATTACTCTTCACTGAGCCCAAACCCTGAAAACAGCCCCAGACCATTATCCCTCCTCCACCAAACTTTACTGTTGGTCCAGTGGCAACATGCTTTACACCACTCCAGTCGATGTTTGGCATTGCGCATAGTGGTAGAGCTGCTCAGCCATGGAAATTTTATGAACTGACTTCATGAACTGGTAGCATCCTATGATCCTATATTTGTCTATGAAGATTGCATGGCTATGTGCTTGATTTTATCTCCTTTAAGATTTGCTTGCCACATTTAAAATACAGGGTATTCTGGAAGTTAATGTTACAAAACGTGTTTTACATTATTGAAAACTGATTGATTCATGCAGTTATTCTAAACTTTAGTAATGGGGCATTTTAGACTGGTAGTGTATGCTGGATTTAAACCTTGGTCTTGAAAAAGCTGTAACGGCTTTCAAACTCACACCCACACATTCACACACACATACAAACACATAAATCTCTAACCTCACCCTCTTACTTCTTATTTGACTAATATGAAGGGCCACTGGCGGTCTGCTGTGATGAAGCCCATGTATAGGCACGAGACAATCCAGTTGTTTCTCATAATTACTGAATAACGCCCAGTATCTGTTACTGACTAGCTCATATTCTCTCATTCACTGCTTATGTAATAATTAAATGTCACCACATCCTGCTATGGGAAACATTCTTATTTTCTCCTCAGGACAAGAGATGACATGTTAACAAAATGAATGGGAAACAGCCCAGGGATCTCTCACAGTGAGACAGCACCATGTAGATATTAAAAAAAAGAAGAGTCAATTAAAGGACCCTGAGGGACCAGAACAAAAAAAAAATACTGGAGAGAGAAAGAAGTTCCCATTGAAGCCCCAGTGGAGTAGACGAGACAGCGCCATGGCTACCCCAGGTCCAGCTGAGAGTTTACTAACAGAGAGCACAATAAATACACATTAACAGACAGTGCTGTTGTAGTCTGCTGGTCTCTGGTTGCCATTTCCTTTATTCTGACCCCACAGACCCTCTCCAGTCATTTTTGAGTTTTTCCACTGTTGACCTACAACGCTGAGTAGCATCACTACAGCACAACTAATACCAATATTCAGCTAATACTGAGGGCCCACAAATCTATCAGTATTATATATGAACCCTGGCAGTGAGCGGTATGGTCATCTCTATTCTCTGGAAATCTCTACTGCTGTATTATGTTTCTGGCAATTTCAGTCTTATGCAAAGGTTTAAACGCTGCTGGTCAAATGACATGTTTTGTTGATTTTCTAAGTGAAGATGAGTTAACACATCCTCTACAGAGAACACTCCTAAAGAAAAACCAATTGGAAGGATAACCATGGTTTATTATTCTAGGATGTCTATTCATTTTTAACAAGAAATAACATTTAACAGCCTCCTTAAATCTGAAGTACTTTTATTGTGCAAAGTAGTAAAAACAGAACTGAACGATATATAGATAAACCCTTGGTGCATACACGCTAGCACGCAGTACGACTTCTCTGGGCCAACAAAATTAGTGCTAAATGTTGCTTCACATCCAAACTTCTCTCATTTATCTCATACGTATGTCCCATACGCTCTTGCGTCTATGTCCATCAGACACTGGATATTCTTCTTGGCTACAATAAACATGCCTGGACCTCAATTTTTAGAAAAAATCACAATTTTCAATTTGTGAAGCTGGTAACATCATGTAATCAAACCTGATATTAGCGAGTACACAGAAGCAGCCCATTTATCAGCCATATCAGACATGCAGGGCCATTAAGCACGTTCACCACCCATCAAAAAGCAGTAAACATGTGCATGATGTCAGTGTTTTCACAAACATCCATTCATGTGAAAACACAAATAACTACGTTTTTGAAATCTCCATCCTGGACAGCATTTAACAAAAGCTCCATTTACAGTAACCTAACACACTGTTTCTGTGTAGGCAGGAGGCTAAAGCACAGACAAAGAATCAGAATCAAATTCGCTTTATTTTATTAAGGAATTTGTCTTGGTGAGTGCGCAATGTTTGAAATGTAACATACTGAACAGATCAGACAAGCAAACACATTCGTAACATATATTTCCATATTTATAATAAGGGACAAACACAATAAAAAAACAATAAATAGAATAGAGTAATAATAAAGGGCCAATGAGAAAGGAGATAAGAGAAGTGTGAATGTCTGTACATATGCAAATATCAATATCTATACATATGTAGATCTGAGTAGACATATAATAACTATTATATACAGAACTTTACAGAATGACATAAACATTTGTAAAAGAACATCTGTACAGTTGTGCAAATCAGCATTATGCCACAGAGGAGTTATACTGTAAGAGAAAAATGGAGGTTAGGTTCAGTTTAACTTTAAGTGTAAGGTGTCCACTGTGGTTAATAGGCGCTACAGCTCTGGGGAAAAAGCTGTTAGCATGTCTGGCTGTGCTGGTTTTGATAACCTTGAATCTTCTACCAAAGAGAAGAGGCTGGAAAAGGTAATGTCCAGGATAAGAGGGTTCAGCTCTAATTTTGCCAATATGCTTTATTACCCTACTGTAAAGTAGATGTCCTGAAGCGTTCATAGACTACATCCAATGATCCTCTCGGCTGCCCTGATTATGTGCTGGAGCCTGGCTAATACTTGTGAGGTGGAAGAACCAAACCAGATGGTTATGGATGATGTGACGACTCGATGATGGCTGTTTAGAACTGGATCATCAGGCTCTGTGGTAAGTTGAATTTCTTCAGATGCCCCAGCAAGAACATTCTCTGCCGTGCACGCTTGGCTATGGAGGTCACGTTCCTCTCACACTTCAGGTCCCTGGATATGGTGGTGCCCAGGAACTTGAGTGACTCTACAGTGGAATCCACAGAGACACTTATCCACTTCCATCTCCACAGTTTTTGTGTGTTGAGTAGCAGGTGATCACTGCTGCACCAGGAGACCAGCTGTTCTACTTCTTTTCTATAGGCATATTCATCACAGTGATTGTCTGCCAACCTCAGAATCTTTACAGCTGGTTCCTTAGAGACACAGTCATTGGTGTAGAGAATGAAGAGCAGGGCTAAGAGCACACAACCTTGTGGATCTTCAGTACTGAGGGTCCGGGGGTCTGAGATGCTTTTCAAGCCGCACCTGCTGTCCCTTGTTTGTCAGGAAATCCACAATCCACCGGCAGATGGGATCTGGCACAGACAGCTGGGACAGTGTGACCTGCAGCAGCTCTGGCACTATGGTACTGAATGCTGAGCTGAAGTCTACAAACAGAACCCTTGCATAGGTTCCAGGACTATTGAGATGCTGAAGGGGATCCAGCAGAGGGTTTGTAATGGCCTTCAGGTGGGCTAGGACCAGGCATTCAAAGACCTTCATGACTACAGAGGTCAGGGCTACTGGCCTGTAGTCAACTAGTCCAGTAATGTTTGTTTTTTTGGGGACTGGAATGATGTTTTGAAACTTGTGAAAACAGAACAAAGTTCCAGATTTGCTGAAGATCCTTCTGAAAAGTTGTGGTAGTTGGTCACAACAGTGCTTTAAGGTGGATGGAGAGACTAAGTCTGGAGCTGCTTTTCCCATCTTTTGTCAGCGAAAAAGCCTAATAATGATAAGCCGGGGGTAGAGGTGGGAGAGCCAGGGTGGGGGAAGGTCTGGGTGACTAGCAGAGAAAGGCTGAAGAATGTCTTTTGTGCATTCAAATCTGCTGATCAGGTGATCTCCTGCTTTTCATTCCAACTGCTGTTCACATTTACACTGCTGTCAAATGTGAGCTCAATTTTACACATCTTATGTTTTTCACTTTTTAAGTCATGCATAACCCTGTACTGTAGTCTCTGCTATTCTCCCTCTTTCATTCATGTGATGTAAATGAAGAACTAATCAAAAACAAGATCCATTGTCAAGGAAACTAGCTACTGAGTCACATTTCCCTTTTAAAACTCGTTAAAACGATGCTGCTGACAATGCACAATAAAAATTGCAGCTCTTGCCATTTGAAAACTCCACTCTTTTAAATTGGAATTTCAATATAAAAAGCATTCATCTTTGGCCTTAGCGGGAGGTGAGAGAATGTTGCACTTTCACTTGAATTGCAACTGAAACATCCCTGACCATTCCTCTAAAAGGGCTAACATAGTAGCTAACTTGCACTGTTGGTACATTGTGTTATCTGTGCTTATTTGTGGCATAGCAGTATGAAGGTTATGAAAAACTCATACCTTACGAAGAATTTCAACCAGTATATAGGATGAGCTGGTATAGCAGCCACTACGAATACAACCAAAATCTGATAAAGCACTTTGTTGGCCCACTTTTACATTGTTCTTAAAAGGTGAAGACCCCCACAGGACCACCACAGAGCAGCTATTATGTGGGTGGTGGATCATTCACAGCACTGCGGTGAAACTGACATGGTGGTGGTGTGTTAGTGTTGTGTCGTGCTGGTACGATCACAGGTCAGATACAGCAATGCTGCTGGAGTTTTTAAACACTGTGCCCACTTACTGTTCACTCAATCAGACAAAGCTTCCTTGATGGTCCACCCTGTTGATGCAGTCAGAGACAACTGTAGAACTACGAA